TCATCAGCACAACGGAACCTCTCAGCCTTTGGTACACACAGAGACCCCAACAGACAAACTGCACAAACAAAACGACGTATGCAAATGAGACAGAGACAGACATGCTTTTGTTCAAATCCCAGCAGCCAATAAGTGTAATAAGCAAACTTCAGTAAAGATGCGTGCCTCTTTAGGGTCTCTGTGGATGTAAGTGTGTGAGGGGGTGGGTGGTGGGGTGTAGATGCATTTGCTCTGCAGACAGAAGAAGACGCCGATAGTGCTTACTGTCCTCTGTGAGTAAAGTGATTTCTGACACCTCCTAAATGAAGCCCTGGGGGTGGGGAGGCCTGCAGCTAGATCACAGGCCTGCTTTATGACTGTTTGTGTGTGTGAGACGGTTAGAGACAGAGGTAATAGCTTGATGTTATAAGAGGAGCTGAGTCGATAAGTGATCTAGCCGCTCTCCGATAGAGAATGAGATGGGAGGTGTCTTCACCGAGTTAAGATGCCAAAATAAAGTAAAACCTTCAGGTTTGTTTCTGCAGCTGTGTGAGGGATTAAAGTGATACCCCTCCAGTTCTGCTACACATACGGTATCAGCTATGAAGCATCAGAGAGTGAAAAGATGGGTTATTTCTACACAGTTGATTTTAATGTCTGGAACTGCTGCCAGGGGGTTTGGTGTTACATGAAGTGATTGATTTCACCAAATAGAAACCACTTTTTCTGCAGCAAAGAATCTCTGAACGTGATAGTTTTGACCTTTAAAGACAGAGGATTAACTATTTTGAGTTTAATTTGGCGCTTGTCAGCCTTCACTTAAGAGAAGGACTGTAGATAGAGTTGGAAATGTTGCAGAGAAAGAGTGGGGACTAACATGCAGGGAAGGATTGTGGGTCCAAACCTGAGCCGTCAGGTTCCATTGAAGTCTATGGCCTCCTTACATGAAGGAAGCAATTTAACTGCTGTGCTAAACTGGTGCCTTCATTTAAGTTTTGATAGAAAACACTCCTTATGCATGTACAGGACAAAAACAGTAAGGAGATAAGAGGTATCACTTTTTCCACAGGGGTCGCCAAATTTGAAACATGTCAAAAGTTCCTTACTGGAGCTTTAAGGCACTACCCTAAAACAAGTCGTAAGTTTATGGAGAACAAAATCCTTTTGGCAAAACAGAAATACAAAATACTTCCAGCTTTGCCTTTTTAAACTCACTTAAGAAAAAAGTGTCTGTGTGTGTGTGGAGCGGATATGAGTGTGTGGAGCGTCTTCATGAGTCTACTGGGGCTTTTATTGACTGACAGTCCTCGTTTAACCATTCAGGGCTCACCTTGACTGTATGAATACACACGACTGTGGAAGCCTGAAAAACACCATCCTTGCATTTTCCTGTTGATGTGTGTTCATGTATGTATGCATGCATGTGTGCTTGTGTGTGTGTGTGTGTATGTGTGTGTGTGCGTGTGCGTGAGGTCTGTCTCTACAAGTTCAGGTTGGTGGCTGAGCAGCAGACAGATCCATGCCTGCACTCACAGCAGCTGTGTTTCTGAATGAATCCACCAGCCATTGTTCTCCTGTCACTAACTCGTCTCTCAGGCCCTGGAGACACACCGCTGACATTTACCAGAGACCCCCACCCTTCCTCCCCAGCTCCTCCTCCCTTCCTCCCTCTCCTGCCTCACCTCCTCCTCATTGCTGCTCTCCCACCATATCCTCCCTCCCTCCTTTCTCATTCTCTCTCTTTCTATTGCTTCCATCAAGTTTCTCTCTTTTCTGTCACTCCATCTCTCTCTGTACTTGATGTGCAAGGACAGATGTGCGGGTATGAGTGTGTGTAGGTGTGTACGTGCGAGACAGAGTGGGTGTTTGTGTTAACGAGTGGCCCTTTAAGGCTATTAAGATAAGATTGGTACGCCCAGAATCCCTCATTACCCAGCAAACATCGCCCCCTACACGGAATGGTAATTGGGAAGGGAGAGAGAGAGAGGGAGAGAGAGAGAGAAGGGGGGTTGGAATAATAAGGGGATAAACGAGAGATAATTGGGTGGATTGAGAACAAGGGGAGCGATTGATCAGGCTGATTAGTGTCTGCTGAGTGAGACGCTGTGAGGAGAGAAAGGGTTAAAGGTCACACACTTTTGTATGTATGTACACACATGTCTGTGCACACCCATAATAGGGGAAACACACGTTCTACATGCATGAGTGGATGCTCTCTCGACCTGAAGACAGTCCAGTTCAATTTTAGAGCAAATACACACAGAAGACAAAGTTATTCTCTGCACTGATATTGCACTTTTAATCAAACTTTTTTTCATCAGACTTTTTCTGCCATCGATTTAAAGGATATATTCAAACTCTAAGTTTGTGAAAGTATTTGTGTGTGAGTCATTATGGTTGTCAGTTAACCTTTAATCTCTGTGACAGTCACCGTTGTCTATAACATTTATGATCTACTCCAGGTTGTGTAACACCAGCATCACCTACAGGTTACAGACTAAACAACAAACCCGTTCAGCATTATTAGTACCTCACACACCTGCTGTCTCCACACGTATAATATGAAACTACCAGGATTTTCACTGGACAAAAAAACATCATCAACATAAATTTGTATTTACCATCAATCTAAAATTAATTAGCTATCTTAATTTCCTTTATCAGTCAACAACAGTAAGTGATTGAACATCATATATGGTTATCTGACAGGAATAGATTACACATTAAAGGATCTGTATGATGGTTTTTTAAAGGGTATAGAGATTTAATTTTCACGAGATCTTTTGTGTTAAGCTTTAAGCACTCAGTTTGGCCTGCAGACCAAGTGAACTGACTTCTACTGACACAGATCAAGTGTAAAAACATTAGTGTCACTCTCTCGCCATGCGGAGTAAGACACATTCACTCACTGTAATGTTCATTCCTACAGAGGGACACAGTTTTTATTTTAAAGGATGCAAAAGTAATTCTGAATTAATTTTCAGTTGTTCAGTTAAAGTTTGAGACTCATACTTCACAAGTTTAACAGCTTATACTGCAAAGAAGACACAATTCTGATTAATATCTCTTTAAAACTCAGTATAGTTCAACAAACATAATGGCATCAATTTGAGGTAGAAGATGAAGGAAAAAGGCACATGGTAGCTCTCTTAGCTTGTCTGTGCAAGAGATTCAATCTGTTGTTTAATATCCCCATCCAGTGGCAGGACTGTGAACAACCACTGGCAGAGAGAAAGAGAGAGAGGGAGGGAGAAAGAGAGGTAGAGAGAGGTAGAGAGAGGGAGAGACAGAGGATGAGCTACCCTGAAAGATTTTTTACAAGATGTTTGATCAGTTCATCTGAAAAAGTTAACAATCATACATTTACATCATGTCTAGCAGTGAGTTGTATCTCTCAACACTGCCAGTAGGTTCATCTGTAGTGTTCCCAGTGTTCCCATAAGTCTATCATTGACCAAATTTACACAGCCTGTCAAATAACAGCTGCACACAAGGCCTCAAACTATTTTGTACTCTCTTAATTTGCATCCAAATTTGAACCTTCCCAAAACATTATCAGGCAGATCTGTTCGTTCATTTCATTCATGCAGTGGGATTTCTGAAAATTCCTGACAACAGTAAATTGATATGGGTACTTCAAAGCGTCTTTGGGGAGTTTTAAAGCTGGTGGCTGACTTAATGCACATGTGAAAAGTCAAATTTTCTAACCAAACTTTCTCTTGACAGTCAGATGTATTACTTTTGTGAAAACCTACCCATTGCAGCAGTTTTAGGCAAAAAGAAGTACAAAACAGAAAATGTTATTCATTGTGGTGATGGCCTTGTTTGCTTTGAGGACAAAAAATACTGGCACAACTTCACCAACTTTCAAGGTGCTTGGAGAAAACGGATCTTGAAGATGTCAAAAGAGCTCCAGCAATACCTGTTGCTGATTTCTGTCTATTTCATGACCAGCTATGAAATCCCTTCACAGCAGCTTCAAATGAACATTGCTTGCATACCTTTAAGGTAAGATTAACAAAGAATAGGATTTCCCAAGATAAAAGAAAGTGATCCTTATTTTATTTTTTGATTGCTAAATTACGGGAGTTATTTTCACAGTGTTTAGGATTTAATAAATAAAGGCAGACAATGGACCAGATCAGATAACTGAGTACATTTTGAAACAATCAAAATAGTATGATACTTTTGTTTACAAGTAAAGAATTTTGTGAGATCTTATTTTGTATGTCTCTGTGTTTGTGGTGGTATGGAAGCCTGTTGCTGCCACTTAGAAATATTAATGAATTGCCGATACATCATAACGTGATAAGTTTATGATTCAACAATATATTTACCCATTACAAAATGGTTCATTTGTTGTCAGAACAATAAACTTAAATAATGTAAGTCTAAACCTATTTTGTTATCCCCAGCAAAATTCTTCCGTAATGATAAAATGTTTGCACAAGGGTAATAAAAATCTGGACACCTTATAGCCCTTTAATGCCACAAATTATGGCCAGAAAATTCAATTTGTTTTGGAGCTGAAATGTTTATTTCACTTACTACTGAAAACCAAAAAAATCAAAGTGTCCTTAGAATTTAACAAATATATTTATCTTGTTTGATACATTAGATGTTTTTGGAAAATGATAAACTACAAAAGGACATTTTTATCATTTATTGGACTGTATTCAGGTTTTTTTTTTTGTAATTTGTTGATCATATTGATTTAATATATAAAAGTATGTATCAAATATGATACAAAAGGCAGTAAAGGGTTAATGGGTTGGTTTCCTACAAATTTTGATTCAGACTAACTCGCCTTTTTTATAGCCTACACCTTTTAATTGTATTTTATTTTTTGCTTTTCTCTTTAATAGTTCGTCTTTCAAGCGTGGCATGGTGGATTACAACGATCAAAATCTCAGACAGATCCACTCTGAGTTGTTTTGGAAACGCTTTAACCATCTGTGTGTGTACAGGGGCAAATTGCCCAATTGATCGATCCTGATCGCGGCACGTAGCAGCTCCTGATTGGCTGTTTCTGTATTGGACTGAAGAAGGAGGAGAGAGGGAGGCCGGACGAAACCATTTTTGCTCTCTGACTGGAAATTAAGCAGAGACTGATGCGGGCACGAAGGCATATTCATTTGGCTTTAACGAGGGATTTCGTGCGTGTAGCTGTATTGGATATTACGATTTCTAATCTGGCTAATTTGGTGCCGGATTAGCCCCCGAATAACGCCGTCACGGACGTTTAATCCCCCGAACATCCCTGATCATCAACATCCACACAGGCAGGAGGATGAGGAGATGATTCTGGTGACGCTGCGATGGATTCATACGAAGATGTGAAGAAATTAACGAGTACTCGATGTGATTTAAAGTTATCAAGTCGTTTTCATATCGCTAAAGAATAAAAAAAAAATAACGTTGGAGGCCATCATGTTCCCACGGAGGCTGCTGCAGCTGTGGGTGCTGCTGATACAGAGCGGGTGGTGGGGGGTCGCGCCGAGCCCCACCGATGAGGGAGCACTCCGAGCCGGCCAAGGGGAGCACGGAGAGCCGGGCCACCAGGAGCCTCACAAGGACTCCTACAGCACCTTCGCATCCGAGTTCCTGGAGTCTAGATATCTGTCTGATGACGGTAAAGTAACCCTTTTATACTGTCTTTAAGACTCCACGCGGGGGAATTTGTTTACATCTCTATCTTAGTAAACAAACTAGAAATTCGTGGGTTGAGATTATGGCCCAGTTAGAGCTTAAACTGAGCATGTGCTGTTTATTTCATCCAGCATCAAACCTGTCCTCACTCTGCAAGGCCTTTCAGCACCCAGGCCAGCTCCCCCTCTGAGACTACCCACCCCCCTCTTCCTCACACACACACGTACACACAGTGGGGAGAAAGAGAAAGTGTAGTGGTCCTCTCCTTAGTGGCCCGTTTTCCTGAAAAGCACCATCAACAATTACTGTGTGAGGGCAAAAATGCATGTAAATATCTTTTTTGTTTTCCAGGTTATCCATTCCCCACAGCCCCACCAGTGGACCCCTTTGCCAAGATAAAAGTGACTGACTGTGGAGTCACTAAAGGCTGCATAAGGTGAGAGGAGGAACTCTTTGAAATCAGAGCTCCAGAGCAGCTTTATACTCCTTGAAACTGTGTCCTCAGTTGACTGCTGAATCTTTGATCTCTAAAACTAGGAGGATGTTTATTTAAAAGAAGTACAGCTTATGTAACGTTGTGGGCTCGACCTTCTTTCCTGAAATCTGTTTTTCTGTTTTGCTTCAGAAACAGAGCTGACACTTTCTTTTTGCTACAGATATGGCAAGCCAGGCTGTGATGCAGAGACGTGTGACTACTTCCTGAGTTATCGTCGTATCGGGACAGATGTGGAGTACGAGCTGAGTGCAGACACAGATGGATGGGTGGCTGTAGGGTTCTCCTCTGACAAAAAAATGGTGAGGTGATAACACAACTTTTCTTGCTTTTACAAGGATGTCCTGTATCTACAACTCCAAAATAGTTGTAGACACTCATGTATTATTTAATACTCTCTAGATTTGATGCTTGCAGTATTGAACAGGGACAAAAACACTGAAAAGGTTGTGCAATGCAGAAAAAAAGCACTTGGAGGAACATCTCAAATTAGTTCAATTTGCATCAGTTTAATGACTTGGTATAATGAGGACACTCCTGAGAAGCTGAGCCTCTCAGAGGTAAAGATGAGGAAAGGTTTATCATTCTGTGAGAGACTGTATGAGCAAAAAGTCAACAGTTTAAGAACGACATTTTTCATCATCAAATTACAGAGGATATGAAATGATCAGTATCTACAGAACATAATATCATTATAAGACTCTGAGCATTTGCAGACAAAAGGGACGAGAAAGGAAGCCAATGCTATACTGCTGTGATCTTCACAACCTGCAACAAAGAAGACATGACTCTGTAGTGGAAGTCATTTTATAGGCTCAAAATCCCTTCAAAAACAATGATTTTGGAAATCATAGACACTGCATCCTCTGCTCTAAAGAGACGATGGAACTACTGGCAGTTCAAAGCCAGTACCCCCAATCTTATGGGGATGCATAAGTGCACATGACATGAGTAGCTTACACATCTAAAAAGGCACCGTGAATAATGAATAATACATTACCAGTTTTATTGTATTGTCTTCTGTCATTCAGACAATGTACTTTTCAGAGAAGACCTTGTAAAATAATTCCAAACCACACGCTGTACGCAGAGTAGTGTTTGATTGACCTGTCTGTAGTTTCGACCTGTTACTTCCTGAAAAAAAAAATATTTTCACATCATAAGATGAACAATACAACAAAGGAGACCACAAACTGTTGAACAACTGAGATACTTTAACAAGCAAGAATGGGAAAACATTTCACTGTCAAAACTCTAGAGGTTGGCCTCTTCTTTTTCAGTTTAGTTTACAGAGCCTTGTTAAAAGTAGTGAGTTCTGTGAGCAGTGGCCTCTCCAAGATTGAGAGCTCAATAATTTACAGTCTAAGAACTTTTTTGCAGATGAATTGTAATTGGACTGCAACATATGGCCAAGAAATTCCTTCCATCTTCCAGTCAATTGGTAGATCAAATCAAACCTTCTGGTAGTAGTTTGACTTTCGAGCAGTTAATAATAAAGCTTATACAGTCAGAATCCATGTGGGTCAGAGAAACGCTTTACTCCAGGAGGGGAACAGACTACAGATTTGGAAAACTCACTTCTGAGTTTTGAAATATTTACATGACAGAGAGTTAAAAGAGCTGGGTTTGTTGTCTGATCTCTACACATTTATATTAAAGAAGTGTTTTATTTTTGTTTGTTTTTAGGCCTGAAATAGTCCAGAAAAAACACTTACAAATTGAGACATTTCTCTTTAGTATGAACTTTTACACATTGCTGTAGACGAGTTTGATTTGAAACTAAAATACAAATGCAAATGTGATGAATATTGGACTTATTTATGAGCATTTAAATCTTTGTAATCTATCTTTTAGTGATGTTTACTTTTTGTATAAGAAAACATAAATGAGAAACCTCACATGATGTACATACAGGAGTATTCTTTTAGCAAATCTGATGTAATATACATTATTCTTTTCTTTAGTTTGGAGAAAAGCTGTTTACTGGTGTTGTCTTTTCTTTCCTCAGGGTGGAGATGACGTCATGGGCTGTGTCCATGATGATAACGGACGTGTGCGGATTCATCACTTTTACAATGTGGGCCAGTGGGCTAAGGAAATAAAGAGGAACCCTGCGAGAGATGAAGAGGGTATCTTTGAGAACAACCGGGTGACCTGCCGCTTCAAGAGGCCGCTCTATGTCCCTCGGGAGGAGACGCTTGTGGACTTACACCTGTCGTGGTATTACCTGTTTGCATGGGGACCAGCCATTCAAGGTGACTGATCAAACTTAAGCACAAAGTCAGGTGTGTTTTTTTAATCTATCATGACATCTTATACATTGTCTTACCTTTTCCAATAGGTTCCATCACAAGGCATGATATCGACAGTCCACCTGTCAGCGACCACATGATCAGTATCTATAAATACGAGGACATCTTCATGCCTTCTACAGCCTATCAGACCTTCAACTCTCCCCTCTGCCTACTGCTCATTGTAGCTCTCACCTTCTATCTACTAATGGGAACGCCATGATGAAGCACAGCAGAGATGAAGGCAGAAAAAAGCTAAGAGGAGGATGTAGCAATAAAACAAAGTTGCCATTTTTGTCTAATGCCACATTCTAGTGCAAAGAGACACTGTACCAGATATATTAAACACAATAGAGAGTATATATTTATCACTCAGAATTCCTGCTGAAGATCTATACAAAATAATAAACCTGTCCTGTAGAGGTCATGTGTACTGCTGTCAGTACAAAACACAAATAGTCTGATAAAAAAAATAGTATCATATTTAAAGGAGACTAATAGTTTTCAGTATCTATGATAGCTTCCAAGTGTTAAAAAGTTTGAGGACTACATATGCCAATAAATAAACTTCTAAGTCTTTACAAAACTGCATGCACTGGAGAATCTGGGAACGAGTCTAAAAGCCAACTGTTACTTGAGAAGATGAGACAGAGCCTCATGTTTAACTTGGCTCAAACAGAAAGGACTTATGTGAGGAAAGGAAAATAAAGCAGCTATCTGCTGTTTGCCATCGCTCTTCCTGTCCCTTCAACCTGTTATGTTTACACAGATTTTCATGCTTTCAAAATCAGCACATTAAAAGATGGTCTTCTTCCTCATTTTTATTATTATAGCATGTAGTTTCCAGGGTTTATGGGACTGACCACAGAGTGCATTTAACATGTAAAAGTATTTTTTTTCTTATGTTTATGTTCATGGCACTGATAAACTCAAGGCTTGTCTCACTTTTCATTGTTTCTCTTCTGTTTCTGTTCCTTCAACCACTGTGGTTGTTACTGTGCCATAGTGACTGTGTTTTACAGAAAGGGAGACTGCTAAGTGAGTTACTATTGCCTTTATAAGCAATAACAGGAGCAAACTGTGGAGTGAAGAACCGTTTTCCTGGACTTGAATGACTTTTTGCCCCAGGTTGTCACTGTAGCCTTTTGTTCTGTATGGAAAATGAATGGAAATGTTAAAATGTCCCTGACTAACAAAGGCAGTGGTTGAATTTGTGATCACTAAGCATTTTCATTAATAAAAATGCAGAATAAACAAAAAAAAGATGCTTAGGTTGCTTTGCACAAACAGAACTCTGAAAGTCAATCAGTACGAAGATGTTACAGATGCTTTATAAAAACTAGTATAACTGCATTTGGGACTGACACTATACCATTAAAAACAATCATGTAACATCCTTTGCTTTTTATGAATGCACAGGCTCCTGCAAATCAAAGTCATAGTTCTCTAAGTTTCAGTTGGTCAATGTTTTTCATTTCAGCTTTAGAAATCCAGAAGTACAAACATTCTCCCAGTAAAGCAACTAGCAGCTCAGCTACTGCGAACTTGCTGATTGCCACCAACAGAGACCTCTTCCTTTAGTTTAGCTAAAAAAAGGGAAAAAATCAAATTTTCATGTATAATTGATCCTACAGAAATAAACATTGTATAATACACACGTGTGACACTGCAGCAAGGAGCCTTGCTATCTGTTCAACACAATGTCATATTTTAGTATAACCACTGTGAGGCACTAGTCTGACATGAAATATTTTGTAATAACATGAAAATTTTAAGATAATCAAGAAATAAGGAGAAACTTGTGACTACAAGGCTATCTAGAAAAGCAGGGAAATTTTCTTTTTTTCCCCAAACCTTTATTTCAATTCTTTAGCAATGACAAATATATATTATTAAACATGCTACAGCTACATTCATCTGAGAGGAATCAAGACTCTGCAGAAGAAAAAAAAACATGAAAAGAAAAGAAAAAAAACAAAAAATCATAGTCCGGCATACAAAGAAACATAAGTTATGATATAAATGATGACAAGGGGATCAAACATTCAGTACGGATCATAGAGACGACCTCAAGGCTTCGTAGAAAATCATAGTTTGAATTGCTTTCCTATTCGTTAGTCCAGTCTTAAAATGTTTTAAAACATATCTTTGTTTTATTTTTAATCTAGTGGGTATTTGGTTTCTTTTTAGACCATTTACATTTGTGTATATAAAATCTTCCATACAAAGTAAAAAGTTGAACAAAAAAATATGACTTTGGTCCATGTTCTTTTTTTCAAAATTAAAAAATAATATCTCTCTGCAGGTTTATCTTACATCCAGACAACGATTCTAAAAAAAAAACAGGGTTATTTGATTGATTAGAAATATTTTTAGTGACGACATCATTACTATTTCTACTGCTACTACCACTACTAATAATAAAAACATAAATAAACAGATATAATAAAAAAGAAATAAAAAAGAAATAATAATAATGATTATTATTATTATTATTATTATTATTATTGTTATTATTATTATTATTATTATTATCAATAATAATAATTTATTTTTGTTTAAAAGACACAGAGTACTTTTCTTTTTCTTTTCCTTTTTTTAATATTGTGACCATAGACAGTCTATGGTTTTGACACACACAGACCCCATTTCCCACAATTCTACTAGCGGTTTCGTCAGTGTTACGTCACATGTTTTCGTCCCTCACGCGCTTAATAACGGTGGTAGTGTGAACTGACGCTAGGGAAGCGGAGTCAGGAAACATGGCAGACGAGGAGGACGCGGCTCCGGAGCCTGCCGCTGCCTCTCCACCGGTGAGCCCTCCCTCCGAGCGGCCTCACTTTGTATCTTTCTCCGAGAGTGTCCAGCCGGCTGTCGGAATGATGAGCCAGCTGCTGAGCCAGCCGTCTTCCCTCAAGTTTGATAAAAACATCAAACAGGCCTTCTACAACACGGGGGCGATGATCTTCGTGGCTATCTGCTGCGGGGCAGCGGTGCTCGTCTACTTCATCCTGGAGGCCTTCCTCCGCCCGTTACTGTGGGCTACACTCTGCGGAACCTTTCTCCACCCCTTCAAGCACTCTTTAGCTCGGCTTGGCCGCTCCTGGCTCAGCGGCCTGCAGGAAACCGGGACGCCCATCGTGCTGGGGACCCTGCTGGTCCCAGTGTCGTGCGTGAACTACGGGGTGGACGCGATGGGCCGGCTGGTGCTGGAGAGGCTCACGGTGCTGCTGGCGATCGGGGCTGGGGCGCCGCTGATCTATTTCCTCTACTTGTCCTGGAGCGTGATCGGCATGCAGGTGATCCTGGGGCACGTTTGCGGTGTCATCGGAGCCTTTCTGGACTGTTTTCACACAGTGTGGGTGAGTGATCGGCCCGTGGGTACACACCCCTCTCTGAAAGCAACAAAAGCTCAACTGTGTCAGTAAGTGGAAACCGCTGGGTGGGTGAGGCCAGCATGCCAACTGAGTCACTACTAAAAAGCACAAAGAGGAACTCGATCAGATTCTTGGTCAGATGTTTGATTCCTTGTTAAGTTTTGTCTGTATTTAGGGCTGGGCGATAAAACGATAACGATATATATCGAAAATTATTTTCCCCGATATCGATATGAAACATGGTCCAAATGCTTTTTGCTAGTCAGCATTCTGCCATGTTTTGGTAGACTATATGAATAGCCAATGAAAAGGGGAATTTCTCTGGGTCTACTTCGGGTCGAACCAATCGTGCTGAATTAGAACCAAGTAGCAAATGAACTGCGTAGTAGCAGGCTGCAGCTACACACAACCATAGCACTTTAATTCGTGAAGCCAACAGCACTGTCAGTGAGAAAAAAAGAAAATGAGGGTTACCCCTGCACAAATGCAAGACTCAACAGATGATGACATCGGCGACAACACTGGCATGAAAACGTTGGTGGTGTGGAGGTATTTTGTTTTTTTTAGGTTGGATATGAAGCAGAGTAATGTGAACTGCAAATTATGTTGAGTACATGTTCTCCCAAAGTTGGGGAATACCTCAAACCATTTTCACCACCTGAAGCAGTGCCACGCCCCAGAGCACACACAATGCAAAAGGTTACAAACCCCAAGCGGAGCAAGGAGCCCATGGCGCCTGTGAAACAGCCGACCATTCAGTCCGCTTTTTCTAGCGCAACGCCTTACGACAAAACGTCAAAGAGACACAAAGACCTCACAGATGCAGAAGCTTATGGTACAGCAAAAGACATGCTACCAATAAGCACTGTTAAATTCCATTTTTTATATCGATACCCAGCCCTACCTGTAATGATTGTCAATCTCTATTCGGAAACTAAGTTTAGAGACAGAATGGTTTAGGCTGAAGATATTTAACTGCAACAACATTCAGTCTTAGTTTCCTGCACAAACTCAGAAACAGCTGATTGTCTGATTATTGCAAATAAATTAGCGGAAGTTCAAGGTATAGTCCTTTTTGGATTAGCATTAGCCACCAATCTAGTTTGTTTGTACTGAATATTTTTGTTCTTGTTCCGGGTCTGCAAAAATTGTTAACATGAATTTGAAAAAGTAGTTGCTATTTGCACTTGAATTCAGTAATGGACAGACCAAACTACAAAAACAAACAACTCTTTATTAAGAAAACAGCTCATGTAGCATGTGATGTTAACTTTAATTGTCAAGAACAAGTTTTATTATTATTATCAAATGACTCCACATGATATCATATCATCATCCCAACACAATCCCTGAAACCAAACAGACTTTCACACAGAGTACACGACTATAATGGCATTAACATATTAATCTTACAGAAAAAAAGGGGTTTTCAGGAACTTCTGCTCCAACTTTTCAATCAATACCTTATTATTCCTACACAGCTCTGGAGGTCTGAGCTTAGCTTCACTTTGATTTGATCCAAATTGAGTTTAACGTTTCTCCCCAGACAGTCTGTCCTTTCTCCCGACACAGAGGTGAATCGACACAGGGCCCTTGTCTATAAATAGGCCAAAGAAACTATATTAAATTACACTGAAAGATGTCTTTGTGCAGAGAGAAGCGAGCTGGACCTTTGTGTTCAGATGATTTCAGACATTAGTTTTCATGCTGGACTCACTCAACATTGTTAACCATGGTCAAAGGTTAACAAGGAAAGCCCAGAGAAAACAGTCTGATTCGGGTTAAAGTAGCAGACATTCTTCTACAGATGTGAATGTTGTAAAAGTTTATTCTTAAAGTGTTATACAAGTTTTTTAAACCTGTCAGGAGGCTCACAAATATTTTTGTTTTTCACACTCTTCTCTCTGACTCTTTGGCGTCTCCTCAGGTGTGCACTGTGGTGTTTGGCTACCTGTTGGCTGTTTGTTTCAAATGGGGTCCCCACACTGAGCATTACCTACGGGCTGTGGCTCTTCCTGTGTGGTCTGTCCTGCTCTTCTACATAGGTGAGTGAGCCTTTATGGGGAAAACCTGCTCAGACAAGTTAGTCTTCATTTCAGACTTTATGTTCACTTTGTTTTCACAGACAAGTTTTTTTTGTTTTTCTTGCATTTTTGCAAACTTCGGTGAACAGGTATTTTGTAGCTGGAGGCAATCTTAGAGACAAACAGCCCCAAACCAGTTTTAGCTCTCTGGTGGAGATTAAACGGTGTCTTTACTGGTCCACCATCAGACAGAGCACATGCTGAGCAGATGAGAAAGTCTCCAGTATTTTTAGCACACTTGACCTTCATGCATGAAATGTTAAAAGTGACTGAGTGCCTGTTTAAAACTGCCACCACATGATTAGACGATTATCACATTCCCTCAGCTATTATGTAGACTTGAGAAACTTTTAATTCCCCTCACAGTACTTATCTAGTAGTCCGCCAGAAGTTTGTATTTTCCCCAAAAATGAAAGCTATTTTAACACTTCGCTTACTCATCTTCCTGTTTTAGTGTCTTTGACCGGCTCCTGGAGAGTGCCCATGTTTGTGGTTATGGTTATACTCTTGATCGTGGGCTCCCAAGAGAAACCGCCGGTCCCTGGCAGAGGTGAATACTCAACACACCTACACAAGGATATTTAAATTCACCATTTAGACACCTCTGCTCACCCCAGCTGGGTTTTAACACATTTTAATAAAAGGAAACTGATAGTTTTTAAAAGGAAGTAAACATTGCAAAGTAACGTGTTTATGTTTTCTTACCGAGTACCTCAGGTGAGATCATGTTAACACAGAAAGTTATCAGACTCTCAAATAAAAAATAGGACGTTTTTGTGATTTTTTAAAAACTTTTTTTTGTCTCCCTCACCCTCTCAGGAGAGCTGTCTGGACAGGTACTGTCATTCGCTGCTAACACTATTTACATGGCCATCTCCTGTAGCAACCTAAAGCCAAAAGCTGAGCCCAGTGAAAGCTCGATTACAGGTGAGACAAGAAAGCTTTACTTCAAACAGGAATGTAGGTCAACATTCAGAGAAGAGAAACTCTCAACACTTCCTCTTTGGCATCATTGTTGAAACTTCAGTGGTTTGCACTTGCTGCATGAAACGAAACTGATGTCTGTCCTTATTTCTTTATCTTTATCTTCCTCTGTGCTTTCTTTGTCATCTCCTTCAAAGATGGAGTGCACTCTGTGGGCCCTCCTCCTTGCACTCCGGGATTTCCCCGGGGCTCCCGTTCATTACCAGCCGGCCTCTTCCAGAGAGAGAAAAGCACGCACAGGGCCAGTGACATCTACTTTATTCTGCTGGTGTGGGCCTTCGTGCTGGTTCAGGTGTGGCTCAACCTGTGGATTCTACAGCTGCTGCCGATACCTGTGGCTGGTAACATCACGCTCAAACACATACACACACACATACACACGCATGCAGTCTTTTTCACACAGTTCTTCTTACATCTGTTCAGACTAATGTTGCATTGATGCTTCAGTGTGGGTGCTGAAGAAGCTGGTGGTCCGCTTTGGTCTGAAGAGCTTTGCAGAACGGACTCTCAGCTCGTGGTGGGCGGTGTTGGAGAGGCAGGGACGTGAGCGAGAGGAGGCCCTGCTGCCCGGACCAATCAAAGGCCTGGCTCAGTTTCTGCTGCGTATCGACACAAAGGTAATGTTGCTGACTGATTTTAAGGTGCCAGAGGGCTCTCTTTAATGGCTCTGTCTCTGTTTTTACATTGTCATCTAGCACACACAATTCTGTCAAAGTTCAGTATCTTAGTCACTGTGTGGATTCAAGGTGCCTGGTGCTTAATCAGTACTGTCTGCACAAGAGGAAGTTTTAGCTTAGCACAGAGTTGACAGAGCAATATTTGAAATAGTTCAACAATGTGGGACAACTTTAAACTTTGGGTATAATAAAGATAAGAGCACTTACTTTATTTTTGGAAGAAGTTAGACAAAGTTTTGCAGAGAGATACCTACTCTAGGTCTTTCCCTTCCCCCAAACCATGTAACTGACAAACATGAAAAGAAGGCCACTGAGGATTTCTGATGCAGATTTTGAACTCAGCTGTTTCATGGAAGAAAATAAATGTTCATTACATTTCAGGAAAAAGTTTTACTCTGCTGCTCATGTTCTAATACAGGTTTAGATTTTAAATAAGTCAACACAAGCCCTGAAATCACATTTATCATTTTTCAGTAAAAATAGGATAAAGAATAATAAGAAATTAAGATCTCAATCCTTGTTCTGGTCCAGTCTCTTCACCCTCACTTGGAAATAATACTCCTGCTTTCTACTTACAGTCTCTTTTCAGCCAAGTCTTAGTTAGATCAGTGCCCAGGATGTAAAAGGCACACTCAACGCATTTTTGTTTTTTACAGGAGTGAGTAACCCAGTCAACAGAGGTTGTCCCGAAAGGTACTTCTGCTGGATAAACACAGTTATGGCGGTAGACAAAAATAGCTTAAGAGTGTTTAACATACCGTATTTTTCGGGCAATATGGCGCACTGTGAATCAACATGTCTATGTTCACACATAAGGCGCACTAGATTGTAAGGCGCATTAAGCATTGATTGGTTTATTGTTGGTAGCGAGTACTCCAGGCCTGGGCTGCCTTACATGAATGCACCTCTAGTTTCGACATTACAGTCAGGCAGTCTTGTAGACTGCTCAGCAGTCCCGTTATGGAGCCGATCAGGTAGTGACAAAGCGTACTGTAATGCTCCAAATATACACTGAGCGGAGCAGTTTCATTGCTTACCAAAGTCATACTAACGCGTTTGGACAGATTTTTGAGCGCATTGTACTATGGATTCAGATTGTACCACATAAAATCAGTCAGTAAGCACAACAAGTAACCATACATAAGGCGCGCTAGATTATAAGGCGCACTGTCATTTTTTGAGAAAATGTAATTTTTTTAGTGCGCCTTTAGTCCGAAAAATACAGTAGATATTTGATGTGTTAGCACTCCCCCCCCTAGAGGAATAAGCTTTTATTCCAATGGAACATGTTTGTTACTTCTCTTTCTGTCTCTGTTGCCTGCAGAGCAAATGTAGAGACACAACTCCCAACACTTTGGTCAGTAGTCAAGTTAAGGAGTGCAAGACTGTTCACTAGATTATCACCAGCAGATGGCAGTAAAAGAGAATTGATCAAATAGTCAGGAGGGCCTGTGCAAACAGTTATCCTTCACTGCAATAGCTTCACCGTCTGCTGTCATGTTTGTACACCCCTGTTCAGCTATAGACGTAAGAGATGGAATGGTGTTGAACAAGAGAAGTCAAAGGCAGAATTTGCCCTCTACTGACCGAAAAAGGTACTGCAACTCATTTTTCATCTCATCAGTCTGAATCCTCCTGCATCTGTACTGATTTTAAATCCAGTTCAAATATCCACATCAGCCTCTCCCCTCTAGGGGAAAATGGACTGACTCGACTTGTGCACAAAAGACATAAATCAAACTTAGACAAAGACGAATTCTACATAAAAACTAAAAAAGATGAGATGAGATCTAGAAAGAACTCTGTCCACTGTCTGGTAAGGTACCGCCACATCTCTAGTGCTCATGAAGTGCTGTTTTGTGATGCTGCCCCTAAATTTTCTACCTTCAATGAAAGAGAAAATGAACAGCTACAGCTGGTGAACAGTGTGAATCATTCAAAGTTTGAAGCCCATATTTCTGAAAAAGGGAGTTAAAGGGACATTCCGGTGTAAAATTAATTTAGGGTCAAACACACCGTAACACAGAGTTAGAGACCCCCTTGAGAGATGAATGTTGGTGACCGCTTGCTTCTTTAGTTATACCAACTTTAGTGATGATCACAGATAGCGATAAACAGCGGTCTGAGGAGCCATAAACAAACCTAAACCAAAACGCCACTCTATAGCCACAAATAATGCTCAGAACAGCACCTAACTTCATCAACGGTACATACAGGGTTCCAGCCACCAAACATCTTTAATTTCTTTAGCAAAGAGACTAAACACAACTTACCTACTCTCATCCAGCAGCTGCTTGTTTGTAGTGAGACCTCGGGCCAGTCCATTATGGACTACAGCGGGGTGACGCAGCTTAAGGAAGAACATTTATAATCATTTCTTCATGGAAATGCAATCAGACCGAGACGCTAAGGCAGAAGAACTACCACATCTGCAGTGCAAAATGATTAATATGATGATTATTACTTGAAGGAAATGATAAAGTAATGATGTGGCTGGGACCCTTTATGTACTGTTGATGAAGTTAGGTGCTGTTCTGAGCATTATTTGTGGCGTTTTGGTTGAGGTTTGTTTATGGCTCCTTAGACCGCTGTGTATTGCTATTGTGCGGTCGTTACTAAAGTTGATATAATACAGAATATAATAGAGTATAATAGAGAAGCAAGCATTTGGTAACATTCATCTCTTGAGGGGGTGTCTAACTCGGTGTTATGGTATGTTTGACACTGAATTAATAATACGCCGGAATATCCCTTTAATATCTCACTTGCATTTGTCAAATAAACACTAACATAAACTCCCCCTGCTGACATCTTTGACACGAAAGGTTGTCTTTCCCCTGATGTTTTTGGGAGTCTGTTGGTCATGTGTTGATCACAATGACTTGCATCCTACAGTTCAGCCACACTCCCTGTATGTGGTGTATTTAACCTGCCTGCCACACTTCTCTTCCCGACCTCTGACTGCCTGTACCCAAGAGGCCGTGTTCTTGTCGCACGGGTACATGTGATGACTGCTGCACAGATCTTTCCAAAAATAATCTTCCCAATGTCTCTTTGTCTCCTCCCCAAGCTCTGGCATTGGCTTAACAAGCAGGTAATGACATAGAGGAGCAGAGTGCTGAGAGAAAGTGTGTATGAGCGAAAACACAGATTAAAAATAACCTGTCCATATGTGTGGGTGTGGGTGGAGGCGTGAGCACACCTTGTAGTAGCTTGGACTGGCACTTTACCCATCCACTGTCATCACCCTGTCATCCTGTCTTTTTGTTTGTCCTCTCGCTGCTTTCTCTGCTGCCTGCTTTATTTTTGAGAGGAAGCTACAGTCGAGCTGAGGTTTTTTTTTTTTTTCTGTCCCTCGGCCTCGTCTGTACCTTCCCTGCTGCCCTGCTGTGACCTAACCCAGCGGGTTTGGCTGGAGAGTGAATGAGCTGCATGAAGAGATTGCTGATGTAGACAGAGCGGAGCAGAGATGGAGAAAAGGGCAGGGTGTCTGGACACATTGGTCTGTAATCTACGGGTTGACTGTGTTTTTCAGAATAGATGTAAGAGGACCACGGCTCTGACTTGGCAGGGTTTAGATCTAATAAAGCTGAGACGTTTTATAGAGGTGATATATGAAAACACCACTCAGCTTATTAACACTAAAAAGAATAACCTTTATGTTCTGGATTCTCCTTGTGGTGTTTTGTAGTGATTTGACCATTTCTTCAAAAGTTTTAGATCCAAGAGACAAAGATGATAGTTGTCAAAAAATAAACTGTCCTGCTACAATAGAGAAGCTCAAAGAGGCCAAACGAGAGAAAAAATGGACGTCTGTTTCGTTGAAATCTAATCTGAATCAAGCGCTTTTTTTCTTTCCTACAAAAATGGAACAGTCTAGGCATCCAAATCCTTCAAGAGCTTTTGCTTCTGGGGAATAGTGCTTCATTGTTGTCGGTTGATAAACTAGTTTGCCCTTTTGTAGAGAAGTGTCCTCTGTAACAGATCCTCTTTCAGTCCCGTAACCTGATCTTAACACAAGGCTTTTGTGACATTAACACACATAATTCTGGAGACTAAATTTGTCATAGGTTTGCTGTGATGCAGTTGTGGATCATTGAGAAACCTGGGTGAAGTATTTTCGACACTTTTGAACGGCGTTAACTTTAAAAGGCTGGAGTGCTTTTAGAATTAAAGGTAGCGGAATAATGAAAGTCATGCATTCAGAGGCACACAGCCCGAGTTTTTCATTTGCATGTTTCCAGCTGCAAAGATGTGTGCATGCATGGTACAGATAACTCAGACTTTGACTGACAGAGTCTTAAACTTTTTTTCAAGTGGGTGGATTTCAAACCTAAATTGGAAGATCACAGGTTTCTCCATGTTTCTTAGTTACACTTTCTCCTCAGCCTCCTCAGAATAGCAATGACTTTATATCTTCTCTCCTTCACCCCCCTCTTTGTTTCCTGTCGCTGTCTTCCTCCTCTCTCTACCTGTGCAGATGATTGTGTGGTTGGAGCGATCTCTGGATAAAATCATCAGCATCTTCATCATCTTCCTTCTGGTCACAGGGACGTTGCTCATGGCTCTTCTGCTCACTGCCATGGTATGTTGTTACTCCTTTAAGTCACTGCATACGCTCACATTAGAGACATCGTCCCGTATAACTGTTATCCTTTTAGGTACATCATGAAAGCGCACATATCATCGACGTAACAAGTAATCTCATCAACGAAACCGTGTCCAACCATCCAGAATGGGCCAAGTAGGAAACTTTCTACTTTGGAAGATTTATCTCTCTCTTTGGATGTAATAATGTCATCAGCTAAACTCTTTTTTTTTTTTCCTCCTTCAGTTGGCTTCCAGAGGCTCGCGTGGTGCAGAAGGCTCTGAACTCAGCTGCGACTAATGTCTATCAACATGGTAGAGAATGGATAACACATAAGGTGAGGATAACAGCTGCTGTGGTGCTGCTCTGGGATTTAAGCAAAACCTAAAAACTTTGTCTTTCTTCTTCTTTGTAGCTTCATAAGATGTTAGGAGACAAAGTAAACCACACAGCTGTGATTGAGAAACAAGTTTTGGAGCTTTGGGACCGACTGTACCACTCCTGGTTTGTGAAGGTAGTGTGAGGACAGCCCGGTATGTTGAAGCCCTTGACGTGAAAAGATGTTTAAATATCTTATTCTCAAAAATCATGTTTCAAACAGAACACGACCCACACTGGACGCCATCGGGGTCACAAGATGATGGCGCAGAGATCGAACAACTGGTTGGTTGACATCCTGGACTGGAAGGACATTGCCTCATTTCTGCAGGAGAATATTGAGACCCTGCTCTCTGTAAGTTTTTGTGAGTTTGGTTTGTGAGGAGTTTTCAGCTTCTTATATAACTGAGTAAATTCAACAGTGATACCTGAAAACGATCAAGACCATCATCAACAAGACTGACGATTTCTGTATCACAGTTTTAATACCTGTATCCACTACGAGAGGCTAGGTGTGGAGGCACACTGAGGAAATTTACTCTTTTTGTTTTTATACAGCAAGTACTCACAGTGAGGAGTATATGTGACATTCAAAAGACAGCAGGAGGAGACGAAAGCACCACGAACACATGCACAAAATAAACTCATTTTAGAAAAGAGGTGGTGATGCTACATGTGGCACAAACAGAGAGTTCATCATAAGAGCTTTCAGTGATGTTTGCTGTCATTTCAAAAACATTTGTCCAAAGCCCTTTAAGAAGGAAGGATTCAACATCATGTTCGTCATTATTTTTCTTGGAAACTGCAGAGACAGAAATAAATGTGTTGTTTCTCTGCCATGCCATGGCTGGCTGACAGTGGGTGTCGTAACATCTGGAAGTTATTGAGAGCTTTACAGCTCCGTGTCTCCACCCTTCCTGTTGTTGATATGTTTGCTGTTGCCTTGTTTTTTTTTTTTGTAGATCCTGGAGTCTCTGTGGGTGGTGATGAGTCGAAATGTTGGCCTCCTCATCTCCACGACCACCACTCTTGTCACCGTCCTGTTTCACAGCGGCACAGCTCTGCTCAACTTCGCCCTCAGTCTGGTATGAACCTCTCGCCATCAAATACTAATACTTTAGTGGAATAATGAGGATGTCTTGTTGGGGAAAGAAAAGGAAAATTTTAAAATTTTATCAGGCAGCAAACCGGAACATTTGAGTTTAAATGTCCTGTGAGTTTTTTCTCGGCTGTAAAACAGAAAATTGATCGAATGATTGATTGTTTCTTTCCTATATTGAACAAATTTGGTCGACATGTTGCCTTTTATTACGCAGGTCATTTTCCTGACCACTCTCTTCTACCTGCTGAGCTCCAGCGGTGAATACTACAAACCTGTGAAATGGGTGATCAGCCTGACCCCCCTCTCCCAGCCTGGACCCTCCTCTAATATCATAGGCCAGTCCGTGGAGGAGGCCATCAGGTAGAGGAGTCCTCTTTTGAATACGCTGACATCAAAATAATGTAAAAAACAAAAACTTTGTTTTTTTCTGACCTTTTGTGTTTGTTTCTCTTAAAGAGGAGTGTTTGACGCCTCTTTTAAGATGGCGGGCTTCTACGGCCTCTACACTTGGCTGACACACACCATCTTTGGCATCAACATCGTCTTCATTCCCTCAGGTGAGTCTGCATGTTCAGAGCTGTTCCACTACCTGTACCTGCCAGGCCACAGTTGTTGTTTTCTCACTCCGATAATCCCTCCCTCTCATTCGGAAGCTTTGGCTGCCATCCTGGGTGCCGTGCCGTTCCTCGGGACATACTGGGCGGCGGTGCCAGCAGTGTGTGACCTGTGGCTGGCACAGGGAGAAGGCGTTAAGGCGGTTCTGCTGCTGATCTGCCACCTGCTCCCGACCTATTTTGTGGACACAGCAATCTACTCCGACATATCAGGGTAGGTCAACAAGCATAAACCAAATGCTTTGTTGGTAAATGAATACGGCTCAGAAAAGAAAGGACTCTGTCAGCGAGGTCTAAAAATAGTGCTTCTTTCTGCGTCAGTCAGTTTCATAACCATCAGCTGTTTGAGATGGACCTGACAAAAAAAACAGCAGGCCGGATAATACTCCAGCTCGGCTTTTATTGGCAGCCAGACTTCCTGTTGAAATCTGTTTCCTGTTGTGCTGCCTCCCATGTTTGTTTCTGACTCATTTGGAGCTGCTTCACGTCATGATAAGATGTTAGAAAAAGGTTCATGTTGATCACCTTTTAAGGTCAGGTAGATTCTGACTCATAGTTCAGTATATTTAAATCTTCTAAAATGATGTTTGAGAATTCTCTCTGTCCTGATTTCTTGTTTTTATGTCTCAGGGGTGGACACCCGTATCTGACAGGTCTTGCAGTGGCAGGTGGAGCGTACTATCTGGGTCTGGAGGGCGCCATCATCGGGCCGATCCTCCTCTGCATCCTGGTAGTTGCAGCAAACATCTACAGTGCCATGCTGATGAGCCCGAGCTCAACGCTGCCAACACCTGTGCAGTCCACCTGGCCGCTGCACCCCATGAGGTAAAATTTTGACCTGAGATATAAACGTGATACGGTGTATCTTCAGATACGTGACCGCCCAACATTACTACCCTCTTATTCTTCATCCTCAGGACCTTCACAGACTCCACCCCCTCTGTCCTGAAGACGAACAGTGAGTGAGAGCGAGAGGATTGATTCCTGTGGCGTGCCATTGGATGAATTCCTCTATGGATCCGCTCTCCTTCCTGATGCTCCTCCCACGCCGCCTGTCCGGCTCTACAGGAGTCAGTCCCTGACACAGAAGAGAAGGTGGCTGAATGGTTGGTTACCCATGATGCCGCTCTTTTCCAGAATGCTTTATTTAGCATTACGCCTCTCGCTGCTCTCAGTCGAGACCCAAAAACGATGAAAGTAGTCGTTCATCCTGATCCCAAATATGGACCAACTTTTGCACATTAGGGTGTGGTTGGCAGAGATGTTGATGCTAATCAATCATCTCTCTGTACGGTGTGCCTGTAAGGATTTTGATTCATTTAGAAAAGGTTAAAATAACCATGTTTTGTGTTAAAAAATTAGATTATTCCATATATTTTTATCTTCAAGCCCATGATTTCCACCTGCACTCCTCAGCTGTGAACGTGGCCGTGTAGTATTTGTACTCCCTACCTCTCTCCTCACGGAGGCTCAAGTCGAGTTTATAGCGACGGTTGATTTGCTTAAAGATGAACTGAAGTCTTCAAGTCTGGCTCAGGGCGAGGAGTTCACGACTGTTTTTTAGTTTAACTTGACGTCATTCTTGTTTCAGTGATAGTAACCAAAAGATCTCTGCCAACTAGACTCCCACTCCTCTCCTGAACCAGGTTTACTCCACTCTGCCCCTTTTTTGTATATGTTTTAGCTTTTCCTTTAAAAGCTACAATTTCAGACTGATGTCAATTACTTAAGAGGGTCAGAGTAACTGTGGTGTTTTCAAGGAGATTAGTCTTACTCTGATACCAGAGGTTTGCTGAGGGACTTTCTTACATTTGGTATTTATTTCAAAGTTAACTTGTGTGTTTTTTTTTTAAGTGCATACAGACAAAGCAAAGTGTTTTAACTCAGCGAGCTGATTCACACTGACGCTCAGAGTAACTCTTGATGAGCTTGACTGAGAATTCAAAACTCTGGTAAGACTCATTTTGTCTCTGGTTTTAAAAATTAAAAAGCAATTTCTTTGTTTTCTTTTAACCTCATGTATGCTACACTTTAACGTTCTTTAAGTATAGTCTGAGCTCTTCTCATAACAGAGAGTATGAAGACGTTTACATCATTTAAAGCTTTAATAAACAAGCTGTCCATGTGAATGGAGTATGTAATGAGAAACATTAATCAAACATGGCTACTGTGTTAGCTGCCTGGGGTTGTGATGTGCCCTCGGTTTAACCAGCGTGTGGTTCAGCAATAGTTCACTGTTCAACTGAATTACTATGGTTTGCATTTGGTACTGTTTCATTTTTTATTACTGGATATGCACTGACACAATAAAACATCATTTAAACTCCAGCCGCTTCACTGTGACTCTGTTCGCTGACTGCATTCAGATACAAGAATGATTAGTTTCAGTCATTTGTCAATCACTTTTTTTTTAAACTGTTGATGGTAAAATTTTATGGAAATAGAAAAAAAAGTTCACAAAATTTTCAGCAGTTAACATTTTGTTTGATCAAATACATAACAGGTACAGGGAGGAAGGAGGGCTTTAACATTTCATAAATGATTTCTGTACTTATTTACTCTGTTTATGTTCTATTTTTTGTTAATATAATGTAAAAATGTTGGAGACTGACTGTTTATTGAGTAGCAGAGAAGGGGTAGGTTTAAAAAAAGCATAATGCTTCATTTTACTCCTTTTCGGACGTGTTGGGCTCACATTATTATTAGTAGTACTATTTTTAATTTTTATTTTTTTGCTTTGATTATTACTGTTGTTTTGATTATTCTCATTGGTTTAGTTTGTTTTTCAGTTTACTTTCTTGAGCTGCACACACATGTCCAAAAAAAACAAAACAAAAAACTTACTATTCCCATATATTGGTTTAGTTAACTTTATCAGGTTAACTGTAAAAACTGATCAAAAGTGGTAAACCTATCGTTTGTCCTGGGTGCCATTTCTTAAGGAAACCGAAGCCACCGCGTACATATAATGTTTGAAAGAGTTTAATGTCCTTTAAAAGGGTTTCTGGAGCAGAAATTAAGAGCTGACTTCTAGCCTGTACCTGTGCAGAGTCAATTCTCATCACTGCAAGGATATAAAAAGTACAAAACTTTCTATTTTTCAAAAGCCTTAAAAGTGAATGCTTGATCTCTTTCCTCTGCTGAGGAGATGTTACGGTTAACTATTATATTTATAATTATCCGCAGACAGATTAATAATCTCCTTCCTTGTGTTCTTTGTTTGAAGAAAAACATTTGCTTTTGATTATAATGTCATCGTCAGGAGATCAGTGGGTCCATGCAAATACTAAAGGGGTTGATCTGAACTCTGGGTGTTTACTGATGAGCAAATGTCTCGCTCGGCTCCTTAACTGCTCATTTAACTTTGTACCACATGTCCCCTGCACCCGTGATCTAACCGCTTACGAAACAGCTGACTAAAAGACTTTGGGTTGTTCTGCTTTCAGGCCAGCTTCCTGTGCAAATATAGAGTTAAGATAAAATTTTTAAAGAACATGCATTTAAAATCTGCCTCCAGGATATAAGAAGTTCAATATTTACTCTGCGTCTGTGCGAGCTGAGTCAGACAGTGGCGTCTGTTCTGTGAACACTTTACAGATTGTCCATGTGTCAGCGAGGCTCCGGACAGATGGACAGAATAAATAAAGCTACAGCACAGCTGCTGCTAAATCCTGACAAACCTCCATTTGAGGCCTCCAGTCAACTAATTAACAAACACATTCATCACAGGATATTTATCACGTATGAAAACTGGACATACCAGAACAGGAAATCAAACATTTTCAAAGTTGTACTTCGAGAGGCGGCAGAGAGATGAACATGAATATGGATGTGGTTTTGGATTATATAATATAATCTGGAAACCAGGCAAGTCAAGGGATGGATAGTAATGTTTCCACTTTAGTTTTCTGTAATGTACAATATAAGACTAATTTATCTCTTAAACTGAACACCAAACCCTTTCCATTAAAGCAAGGACAAACCTTTATCATCACCACAGTGGATGATTACAGTGAAGGATCAATAAATCAATAAAACAACTCAGTCAGAGGGACATACAGCTTTGCTTATAAATTCACTCTCTTCATTATTCGCTCTTCTGGTGGAGTTCTCCTCCCGGCTGCAGCCTGACTCACTTTGATCCATTTCTTCACATCAAAGGCTCCACTGTCACAGTCCCTCTGAAGTCTGCAGCACATAAACTATCCCAGAGTCTTCAGCCTCGTCTCCTGCAGCTCCACATCTACTAAAACGACAGAGACGCTCGTTTCATTTGTATGACGGCGTCTATTTGCGGGAGAATCTATGTTGATCAAGGCTTTTGAGGAAGCAGGATGACTAATTGACATCAGAGTTTTCCTTCTCTCTCATCATTGGGTGCATGAAACAAAGCAGCTTTTTATATAAAAAAAAACTTTTATAGAGACAAACTTCTAATCAGGCTGATTCTCTAATTAAACAGAAAACACTTTGTAAAATAACATATTTTTTAATTATTAAAAATGTGTCAGCCAAACTCTGTGGTCTGTCTTCCTGATGGCTGTCACTGGGTTTAATCCTGACTCATGAATAATTCAACAGATCAAGTTGAGGAGTTTGAATAATCCACTCAACATGTCAAGAGTCTGCTGCCTGACTGTGTTACCTTCACATTTCATGTCATGTTTATTCAAATTCAGAGCAAATGGATCCTGATTTCAGCAGCAGGGCTGTGGGAGAAAGATGATCATCTTTCAGTGCCTGATGCAGAAACAGCGTATGAACATATTCAAGCCAATCTTTCTTTTTGTACTTAGACACTTTGAAGTCCAACTCTGATAATTTTTTTTTTTTTTTTTAGGTGGTCTTTAAATTGTGATTATGAAGTTTGTAGCCAAAATCATGTTACCTGTCATTTTTAAGGGCTTTTCTTCTGCAGAGCTCCAGTAAATCATTAGCAATTCACCTCTGAGTCGTGGGTGGAGACAGCGCTGCTCTGCACACTGTTACTCACATTAGCTTGCAGCCTAATATTGCCGGTGTAGTTGAAGTGGCAGGTAACATAGAAGATATTCAGTTCTCAGACATTAATGTCTTTAGGGACATGATGAAAGCTGATATCATACTAAGCTTTCTTACGAGCATTGCTACCGCTACTGCACGCGCTTGTTTTGCGATCATCCTCTTGCGGGGCTCCGGGGGCGGAGCTTGGATTTGTGATGTAAGAAATCTCACTGAATCCGAGCCTGCTGTTTGGGTCTGTGAGAGATTCACAGCGATTTGAATGCAGTAATACTCAGAAATGCAATTTTGCACTTAGTTTTCTTACGATATCTCCTGTAGCATCAGAAAGATGCCATATAAACATGTAGACAACAAGAAAAACATGATTTTCATCGGAGTGGGTCTTCAAGCAAATCAGAAACAATTAACATGTTTATGAGAGCGACCGGAATTGTATGTCATGTCAACGTCCGATTTGGACGTCCACAAGACGTCAGAATTGGACGCCGAAATGACGTCTGAAAAAGACGTAAAAAAAACTTTTATTCTGCACCTTCAGGAGACGTGATTTAGACGTCAAAAAATTACGTTATATAGACGTCATTTCGACGTCGCATTGCGCAGTGGGTTGAAACACAGATGAGACATATGTGGCTGAAAGTAAAGCTTAGATTTGCCATTCTTTTTTCTCATAACACAAAACATGTGAATAATTATAGTTTTTCATTGTTTAAACTGAAATATACAACAGTATTAGGGCCACATTGAAAAAAAAATTTAAGACATTAATTTACAGGAATAAAGCAATTACTAATGAGAATCAAGTCGTAATAAAGTAATTACTTACAGGAATAAAGTACTAAAATCATTACTTACAAGAATAGAGTCGTAGTGAAGTAATCCCTTACGAGAGTAAAATCAGAATAAAGTCCTTATTTTCTAACCTGTTATTTAAGATGATAGTTGTTGAAATGAGAGCCGTGGAGCATTTCGAGGAAATGTACTTCAAAAAAAAAAATGTACTTCCTTGTTTCTAAAACAAGGAGATACTTAACCTTTTGGCACATCAGCACCAAATTATCATAAGTATCATAATGATTTTATTACGACTTTATTCTCGTAAGTTATTACTTTGTTACGACTTTATTCTCGTAAATTGACGACTTTAATTTCAAAGTCTATTTTTTTTTAATGTGGCCCTGATACCCCATTGCAGAAATATTAATACTGGTTATAATCTCAGAATAAAGCGACTCTTTACCGACTGGAAACAAAATGTGTTTTTATTGTGTGTGTGCAAACAAAAAGAGGCAGAAATCGACATTTCTCTTGTATTGTTCTGTAAACTTTTCATCATAATTTTCTACATTTGGATCAGCTCTGTGTGGAAGCCTGGACACGTCAGTTTACTTGATCCCTCCCGCCCCCCCCAAAAAATATCAGAACAATAGATTCACTCCTTCTGTCTCACACAAATAAAAAAAACAAAAAACACACATTCACACCTTCAGCACAGTCACTCGCTCTGACATGAAATCAGTTAATGGTCTTTTCACTCAACCTTGATCTGGGGATTTGTCCTATGTAAACCCCTCCACTGGAGGAAGCTGAAATGGTTAAATAAAAGTAATGAAGTCACCTCTCCTGCCCTGACTGGCGGCAGCATGATTGATAGTGAAGAAAAAGTAAAAAGAACGACACACTGATGCTCCTCTTCAGCTGTCTGAGATATGAAAAGAGAGAAACTGCAGGTGGGCTTTCAGAATGAGATATATAGTCATTATTTCAGATATGTCTGCTGCTGCTGTGCATTTGTTACCCACAGTTCAACCCTCCCCTGCCTTCGGCTCTCTTGACATTTATTATTCTTTCCCTGATTAAGTCTCCTGACGCCCGTTGGCCATGCCGCTTTGATATTCTAACAACTACGTCCCCGGCTTCTTTTCCTTTTTGTCAATACGTCCTCGGGAGAGCGCAGAGAAAAGAAAAGCAGCATTTCGCTCTCATCTGCTGTTGGTTTGAAGCTACCAAGTCTGGGTGTCCAACAGCGAGGGATCAGAGAGCTGTTTGTCCTGGTAAACAGGGAGCCGATGGACCGGGATTAACTGAAGACCCACACGTACACACACACACTCATAAACATTCACTCACACACACACTCCAGTGGAGGAAAAAAAAAGCCCTTGGAGTGTCTTGAAGAGGTCTTAGAGAAGAAGATATGACAAAATAGTTTAGAGTATCAGACCAGTGCAGCCTGGTTCCTATATGTTTACAGGTGGTGTGTTTGTATGAATTCCTTATGGTTGAAAGTATTAGGCAGTGAGCATAAGTTACATATGCAGAGTTCCTGTTTGTGTGTTAGCTCTATGTTAAACATCTATAAAGTCGACAGAGACAGATAGATGCACTAATGTTACTGCTCTGTGGCACTCTCACAGGACAGTAGAAACAGAAAACCATAAAAAAATGGACATAGAAATCTCAAGATATCACAAACATCATATTTCTCTATCTCTAGTTCTCTGCTGACAGCAGACGTCGCGTCCTCTCAGTTTTTATGTGCAGTCTCTTGGAAATTCCTCGGCGAGGAGGCTTTAGTCTGCGGGATGAAATACCAATGAGAAACACCAGAGGGAGACACACACTGCTGCAAGACTAGAGGGGCCTCAGACACACGCACACACACACACACACACACACACACACACACATGCGCGCAGACACACACACACACATCCTCTTCATAGGAGTTCACCGGAGTTCATTTTCATTACAAATTTAAATAAAAAAAAACATAAAACGAGGAATTTAGCCCCCTTCTCTTGGCATACATTCATCTTGGAATACACACTCACACACACACACACACACACGCTCATGGAAGTGCACACATTCTCTCGTAAGAGGCAGCCAGTAAACGTTAAGTGATGAGTTGAGGGTGGACTGCGTAGTCCAGGGAAGCAGTGCGTGAAGACTCTTGACTCCATCGGTCAGTTTCATGTTCACGCCCAGGAGTGAAGTCTCACTCCCCAGTCCGTGGTCAGAATCTCTTTAAAAAAACAAATACATAAAACAAAATTCAAACAGCCATCGTCTATAGCGGGAGTCTTTGCTCTCCTAGCCCACTGAGAAGAGTCAAACACACGCCTCCCTCTGGTCTCGGGGAGAGGTAGTACCGTCCGATCCGTTCTGCTCTCATCCTGAATATCTCCGTGGGGAGTCTTTGCTTTCTTTGTGCCCGTTTCGGATAGACACGGTCTGTTCCCCTGATTGCTCGCTCTGGGCTGCTGTGTGAATGATTGTGTGTGTGTTTGGGACTGTGCAGAGTGTGGTCAGAAGACCTCTGGTAGTGTGACGTTGCGCAGTAGCCACTGTTGGGAGCGTGTATGTGTGCAGTCTCTGACGCTGGGCACCTGGCTGTCCTCCTCGCTGGCCTTGTCCAGACACTGGTTGCTGTTGACGTGGATCAGGGTCAGCTTCTGCAAAGACAGAGAGTGGATGTGTGAGGGGATGTAAATCAAACAGATTAATTTCAGCTGAGAAATGCAAGTCGTTTAATAACTGAGATCAGTTTCGAAATACTCTCCGGGTTTATTTAGAGGCTCCGTTCAGTGACAGAAATGTTGCAGTGAAGTTGTGTCAAAAAAGTCTTCTTAATCCACTCAGATTAAAAAAAATTGCAGTAATATTTTTTTTTAAAACATAAACAGTCAAAATTCAAAATGAAAAATAACTGCAGCAGCATTTACTCTTTCTCTCTCTATGAGGATATTTCACACCAGACCTCACATCCAGTGTGTTCATCACGATGCCCCTCCACTTACCACAGGGTCGTACTCCCAGAGCTGGTTCCCCTTCAGGTGATGGCACTTGAGCATCATGACAGGCCCGTTTAACTTGGACACGTCTAGACACAAGTCGTCCGTCCTGATCTCTTTATTTGCCGTGTACGAAAAAACCTGAAAGACACAAAAAGGATGTTACTTCAGGCTCATATTAGACAAAGAACTTTTTACTGTGTACACTCTGTGACTTCTATGTGATTGTGATATTGTTTGTAAAGTCATAGGAAAATAACCTGAAGTGGACAGACCGTCTTATGTAATTGTTTATTTCTGTTTTGAGTGAGGGGCAGGTAAAATAAGCTTTGTCTTCTATCTGCTCCCTTCTGGTCATGTGCTGTGCTACCCTTGTTAAATGCCTTTTGTATTTATGGAAATACTTAAAAATGGCCGTAAGCGGAACAAATAAAAAACAAAAACAGTCCTCAGGTCTTGTGTTCTGGAGGTTTCCTCTCTGTCTTTAAATACCTGGTTGCCTCCCATGCCATGGCAGTTGAAAATGCCCACTTTCTCGTTTTCCTTGCGGGCCATATTGTCCAGGCACTGGTTCGTCTCCACGTTTCGGATCTGGGCAGAACACAAACAGAAAACAGCGGAATAAAAAAAAATCCAAATCTCAGTGTCTACTTGGATCCCAGCTAAGAAGAAGCAGTCAGTCCAGGATTCATCTGCGTCTGTCTGGCTGACAGTGAATTACAGTGTGTGAAATGTTGTGAGTCAGACAGACAGACAGACAGACAGTGTGAGTGTGAATTTAAATATACGTGTGTGTGTGTGTGTGTGCATGTGTGGATGATGAGCGTACCTCTCCCAGGGAGTAATAGTGTCTGGGGATCTGGGAGTCGGGATAGACGTTCTCTAAGTACCAGCTGAAGGGTTTACATTGAAGCTTTTGTCTCAGTGCTGTTCGAGACGTGATGTCACCGTAGTCCACCTTGGTCACACCTTGACAGACACACACAAACACACACACACAGACAGCAACATGAAAGTCAGCAACTCTAGCGGCAAACTACAATCCTGCTACTCAGAGTCAGTGTTTCCATTTCAGCATTATTTAGAAGGGCGTCATTAACACAGCACAACATTAACATACATGAATTTCAAACACACAAATCCAGATAATCCTCCTCTTCAGTGTCAGTAAGCTGCGTGTGTTTGCTAAAAAATGTTAAACAATCACCGCGAGTGTGTTTGTTTACGAGTCGACGATGCCGGAGTTGACACAGTCTGGTAAAGATGAGAAATCCCTTGCTCCCTTTCAAAGGATGTGCAGGGGTCAGAAATGTCATTCAGTGAGCTACGGCAGAGGAAGCATGCACTCATGTATGCTACACAGACCCCTGAATAAATATCCACATTCTCTGTCGAGTGAAGTGTTTCCCCAGGTGGCAAAAAAGAAACAAGACAAACAGCTTAGAGGGAAGCAGAAATAATGGGGATGACTTCAGCGTGTGACACGAGCTTGAATAATGGTAAGAGAAATGGTAACAATGCTATCCTCCATGTTGCTGTTAGTTGACCCAGATGAATATCCCTCCAGTTGGCCCATTTTCTCCATCAACAACATTATGTTCACTGTTCTGAGCAGCTGCTTCCACAATTGTCTTCTGTGTCGGAAACATCAGTTATTGCTGTCTGATGGAGAGACAATAATGCAGCTCGAAAACAGAAGCATGGGCACAAAAACACAACAGAAGATGGTGTGACAATTAAGATTTGAGCAGACAAAATATTCTAGATGATTACTGCTACTGCCAACCTACCTAGAAAACTAAGCTAGAGCTTGAGCTAATAAATCTCACCACAAATCTACTCTCCCTGTGCCCAGCATTCTTTAACAACTTCTAAAAAACACACCGACTGAACGAGTGTTTGATCTGACGGGGGAAACATGACATTTTAACACTGTACACAACTTGGAAGACAACTCTCACATGGGGATAACGCAGAATTTGTTTTACAACCCGCTTTCTGAAAGTGACAGGATGCTGTGTGAAATGTGAATAGAAGCTGAATGTGATGTTTCCAAAAACACTGAAAACCCCGAGAGGACGTATCAAATGTTAGAACTGAGGATCTGTTTGTTTTGGGAACATTTATGCTCAGTTTGAATTTGATGCTAGCATGTGTCATGTTTCTGAAAAGTTGGACAAACTATTAAAAAATATATATTGTGGAACATCTCCGAACAGTCTGACTGCCAGCAAGTCGGCAACACCGACTGGGTTTTAAAAGAGCATAGAGAAGAGGTCAAGTCCTTCTGAAGTCAATGGGAATTCATCCACTCCTCCATAAAAGACGGCAATAATAAATAGTGAAACAATTTCAGAATAATGTTTCTTAATGTAAAACTGAAGAGAATGTCGGGGTTTCAGATGTTGAAGTGGAAACTGAAGTACTTTCTGAAAATTGTGGACATCCTCCAGGCTAAAGAGGAGAGCACCATATGGCTTGTTATCAGTGCGCACGTTGAAAAGGCAGCATCTGTGATGGTGTGGGGATGAATTGGTGTACATGGTATGGGTAACTGGCACGTTTGTGAAGGCACCATTTAAGGCTGAACAATAGTCACAGGTTTAAGAGCAATGCATGCTGCAATTTTGGTGGTATAGTGAGAAATAAGCATCCCCAAAAAAAAAGAAGACCGCCAACTGTTCAGTCGGAATCATCTAAGATGCAAGACAGTGAAAAAAAATACAATTTTAAAATGACAGCAGTTGGTCTGCCTCACTTCCTTCAGACATACAAGAGTGTTGAGAGATGATGAAACAGAGCTGTAAAAATGCCTGACCCAACTTTTGAGGTCTTTAAGATTTCCAAAAAGATGGGGAAATGTGTGGTGAAAGCACTTGTTATGGTGTCTTTTCAGGTAATTCTAGGGTGTCATTGATTTACTTTACTTTTATTGTATACAGCCCCCTCTCTTTGTGGAAATGGGGTTGGAAGTGGTTGAAACTCAACTAGTCGTATTGTTAGGAGATTCTGGATGAAAGTATTATTCTATGTCTTTGATTGATTTCAGACTCCTCTGTCAGTCTAACTCTCAGGCAGAGTGCTGCAGCAGCTGAAGACACTGATCGCAGGTAAAGTTCTGAGTAAAAACGTCTGATACTTTCTTCCCCTCAAGGTGGCGACATCAACAAGTTTGCAGGTGTTTGCGGCTGCTGTTACGTTTTTTTTCCTCCCTCTGGTGCAGAATTTTTGTGTTTGGCATAGTTTCACAAAACAGAACAGCTGCACCTTGTAGAGACTCTTAAAAACAAAAGCAATTTGCTGAGTTTGTGGGCGAACCAAAAGCCAAGTCTAAGAGCTGCTTTGCCTCTTAAAAAACAGTTTTTGGGGACTTTTACTTTCCTTTTGATTACTTTTCCTGAGCCAGCTTGTATGTAAGCGTGTGTGTGTGTGTAAGTGTGTGTATGCTTGTGTGAGTCAATAGATGCTTCGTAGCGTGAAATTACTCGCCACCCCCCGTCCTGCACTGCTGGGTCACCACAGCTGTATCACTCTGTCACAGGGTTAATGGGTAGATCAAAACTGCCATGGAGATTAACCTCCACACACGAGCACATACATGCATACTTTCATGAGCGCAGCTGCAGACGCACTACCATTCACGACGGCAAACTCACCAGGAGAGATGATGTAGAAGAAGTTTTTGAATTCATCCATCCAGACCTCTGCTAGGCGCCGGTTGTTTTTGTTGATGATCTGTCCTGTTCCACCGGGGAACGTGTAGGGCGTCGCCTTTCTGAACACGTGGCCAACATGAGAGCATGTCACAATTTCTAGAGTCCCGCCACACTGCCAGATCTGTGGAGCACAAGCATCAATACTCAGAGCAGACATACTATAGGCCTGAATACTGGACCAGCACAGGCCAGTGAACTCTCCAGGGAAATGCATGACACAGATCGGTCCTGCCTGTGTTTTGACAGTCTGAATAAGTTTGATTAAACGGCAGTCAGGATGACGCCTGACAAAGTATTAGTCAAGTCAACAGTTTAGTCAGAGAAGTCAGACTCACCAGTGCGATGGGCCTGAGTGTGAGTGTGAGTGTGTGTGAGTGAGTGTGTTTCAGACACTCCTCCTGAGTGCCTGCCAGCTCTATGGAAGAATACAGTCATTTTAGTTGGCTGGGAGTGCGTTCACTCACCCTGAAAGAGATTTCCAGGTTCTCTCCTCCCCAGATGTCCATTCCTGCGTCATACGTGCCAATCTCCTGAAAATAATCTCTGTCTATGGAGAACAAGCCGCCTGCCATGGTGGGAGTCCTGGAGAGAGACACACAGAGTGACGTAGAGTCACCAAAGGGCAGTGTTTTGAAAGGTCACACAGTATCCTCACTTCCTGCTCTTTTACACCTTTCTTGATTGTTTTTTCTCCATTCACTGTTTTGATCTCACTTCTCTGTTGGTCGTGCTGATTAGCCTCACAGCTCTCTCCATTTTTCTCCTCTTCAAAGACCGGTTTCCTCCTGAGTAGAGCTCTAATTATTGTCGTATGTTTTTGCTTTGATATATCAACTCACAATACCCTCCATATAAACTGACATATTAAAAGACTATCTAAAAAGAGCTTACAGTAAAGGTTTGCTAATTCTGTTTGAAGTAGACTACAGAGGGAGAATAATCGTTGTAATATCCAGGTTCATAATAAACACCCATGTCTGTCAATCTGCTCTCTTCTCTCTTCCCTTCAAGGAGGAATTACAGCACCTAATTGGTAACAGATCATTTCAAATGCTCGATTTTTGACCAATAGCTGTAGAGAGAAACTCTGCAAGTGACCTCAGACTTTTACCAGTTAGGCAAATTACAAGGTAGATGAGCCGATAACATCCAGTTCAGCTGTTGAGGTTTTCTCATGAAGTATCCCTCTATTTGGCCTCGCACAGCGTGACAGGAAAAAAAAACCATCATATCTGACTGAATCTGCTCATTACCTTTCAGACCCCAGCTGACACCTGAAGCACGAGCAACACTCTGGGACAACTTGTTATTCTAAACTAGCTCTCAAGCCTTCACAATAATGCAGTTTGCAGTTTGCGTCAGGACAGGGCTTATGTAAATCATTTCATTAGCGTATAGTAGTTGTTAAGTCCTTTCCCTGACACTACAATCCATTTTTGTTTTTTTGGGCCACTTAGAAGACACCCTAAGGAAAGTTTTGTTATGCAGAGCTGAGAAAAACAAGTGAAAACAGAGGCACAGAGTTATATAAGATAGATTATGTGTGTGACCTTGAATATTGGCATCAGGCATTAAAACCAAGAGCAGGAGATGATAGACAGGCACAAATCTGTTTCATTTTGGTCGGGTCATGAGAGGTGATACAAGAAACAATACCAAATAGAATCTTATATAAACATCATGGGTTTAGCTACAGAGGAAGTTGACTCTATTCCTTCAGTATATCTGCTGTCGGTAAATATCATGACTATTAAGTGTGATAAATTCAACTGTGAAGTGGGATTACTCCATGCACATCAGTTATGAATGCCTTTAGGAGCAGCAGTGCAGCTCAGAGCATATAAGTTATCTTAAACTGCCTGGGTTTGATTGCATGATTCACAGAGTATTTTACTAATGAATTCATTCGTCCCTGAAGGCAAAGTCTCCACAAATTCTCTCCTCTTGACCAAACAGAGAGATCAGGGTCAGCAGCTCTGTGGTGGCTCCAGAGCTGGTGGCGTATGAAGATGAATAAGATGCTGCGAAATGTGTCAAACCCACATTAGGGGTTTATTCTGTTGTGTATATAACCCACCTGACGGGCAGTGTGCGGTCTCCTTTGCGACGGTCCATCTCTCTCTGGGGTACAGGGTACCAGCGGAAGTTGAGCTTCCAGTTGAAACCTCCGTACGTCATATCTGATCCTGCCATGTACTCAAATGTATCATCGCTAATCACGTCGATGATGGGGCACACCACTGTTCTCCTGCAGCAAACACAGAGAAGGGAAAAAAAACAGCTGAGCAACAGACCACTCCACACTGCAACCTCTCATTAGTTATCAGACTCTCTCGCACCTTCAGGTCCGATTTAAAAATTTAATAATCCATAACATTTGAAGTGCAGCGCATGAGAGCATTGACCACGCTTTTACATAACCTTCCACTGTGATCATATATACACAAAGACCGCTGACTGGAATATCCTGATGCAACCATTAAACCCAAAGCAATCTCATCAAGCAGTATTCACATCGGATTGTCAGAAAATACTACACAAGCAGCAGTAACTTCACTGACGGCTACACAACCATTGAACCGTTCAGGATCTGATGTAACCCTACACTCAAGGCTGTTCACACCCCTGTGTCATAGTTGGCCTTTATTTTTCTCTCATAGTGGGCACTTAAATATTAGAGCATGATCATCAGTGGAAGTGTTACATAAGAAGTGTGCATGTTTATGTTTTGAGAGTCCGGTGTTGGTCTTAAGCTGTTGTTTGCAGCCCATGCAGGGCGAGAGCAGGGATCCAGCAAAGCTCCCTGAGGTGAGGCAGGCGTGGGAGGAGATGGCTGTGGGCATGTTCTTGTAATCTGGTAACACCGCAACAGCCACACAATGCTGAGAGTGTTAGAACGACGGCTGTCTCTTAATCTGCTACTCCATTAATTTAACTGTCTACCTGCACTTATATGTCATATAAGCTTATATAGCAAATAAACATTAAACAAGTTTGTTTTTATTGTCAGTTCAGAAATCAATTGACACATCAACTGTATAAATTGTGGTGCAACATGATCGATCAAAATGGTCAAAAGATCTTTATCTATGGACAAAATCTTTGACCATGACTGCAGCAGTCAGCACTTATTAAAGACAGATGCACCGCACTCTGCTCGCCCCGCACTGGGTCTACGATAGGGCCTTGTGTGTGTTTGTGTGTGTTTTTGTTATTGTGTGGATGTGAGTACCTGCTTGGGTAAAGCAGTTAACAGAGAATGAGTAATTAAGCATCAAATAAACACAAGGGCAGGCCCCCTGCAAGCTTAACATAGTTTATTGATTTTTTTTTTTAGGCTTGCAGTCGGTGTGTGTGTGTCTTTGCAGTGTCTATGCGAACGCGCGTCGTACTTGTCTTGCTTTATGCGTGCCAGCAGAGGCTCCAGCCACCCTGTTGTGCATTCACAATGAGCATCCAGGAAGGTTATGACCTAGAAGCACAGAGAGAAAACATAAGAAAAAAAAACAGTGAACACACCATATGGAGATTAGGTCAGTGGTCAGAGGGTGTCACACATGTGCACACAAAAACGCACCTGGCCGGTGGAGATGGACGCTCCCTTAAGGCGAGCGCGAATAAGTCCAGAGCGCTGCTCCATCCTCACCACTCTGACAGGAACCTCCAGCCTCCTGACGTACTGCTCCAGAGGCCGCTTCAGGAAGTCTTCACGATAAAAAAAAAAAACACATTACTGCAGAGAAGATTTGAATATACACACAGAGACTCCCTCAGTGTTCCCCTCGGTTACAACAGAGATCAAAAGGTAGGTGTCTGCTTATGTGAATGTGTCTCAGCATGTCTGCTTACATCACACCTGCACCGAGCTCACACCCCAAACACACATGCTCACATTCACCCCCTCTGACTCACACACTCTAACCTGAGGGCCCACAGGGTTAAATGGCGCTGTGTGGTAGCGGCTTGAGGATGTGTGGGGGGGATTGAGGGTAATAACAGAGTGTAATCCCTGCGGCTGGCGAATTAAAGACCTAATCTCCCCCAAACAGGGATTAGCAGCATTGCAGAGGGTGGAGTGGCACACACAACTCATATATGCTGACTGGCTATTGGGTATCTCCGCCAACACACTTTCAGATACACACACACACACACACACTAACCCGGTAAAATCATACAGGAGCTCCTGAAAAAAATAAAAAAATAGGCTAAGCCTCAAACAAGAGGCACGGGCGCTGATGGAATTATCTGCAGTGTGTTTGAGTGTATACCTCTTTCACTCGCATCGTCCACTAGGACAATCTCCTCCAGCAGTGTGTGCGGGGAGCGGTCGATGACGGAGTGGACGGTCCGTAGCAGTGTGCTCCATGCCTCGTTGTGGAATACAATCACTACACTGGTACGAGGAAGGTTGTCAGGGTATAACTTGTTCTTGCACCTGCAGAAAGAAAACATAAATCAAATAGAGGCAGAAACACGCTTCTCACATGGATACTTCATGTATCTTTGCATACAAAGCCTCTGTATGCAAAGCGAACACTTGATCCTATACAGAAAGGGAAACACACTGTCAATGTGATTGAACAAAACACAGCTCAGGAAGAGGAAGTGTGAGAACTGTGTCTTAACCAACACAGACACAAAGACAACCGCATGTGCTCCGAGTGAAGTTGTGGGCTTTGAACGCAGACAAAACTGAGCTGACAGAGACAGAGCGAGAGAAACAGATAAACACTCGAGTAGAGACATCACAACCCAGCCTCTGTCTGATTCTTAGAGACTGCTACACAGCGAGGCAGAGATGCAGCTCAAGTGAATCTACGAGAGAGAGAGAGAGAGAGAGAGAGAGAGATGGAGCTGAACGAGAGAAATAGCTAGGACTAAAACATCAGCCAAAGCGCATTAGTCAGTCATGGAGTTGCTGCACTAATCAGATCATCATTTATGGCCTCATGAAAAATCATATTTTTAGCGTCTTCGAACAAAGGAACCGAGGGGGAGTAATGAGCGAACAAACCGAGCGTATATCCCCAAATTTAGACGACGAAAGTCGATACAGAAATAGCGAGGTCAGCATGATGACAGCTGATAAGTGATGCTAATTAAGAGTGTGAGTCATTATCATAGCTGTGCAGAGCAGCCCACTTTAAGATCTTTTGTTGAAGACACAGAGGAGAACAGGAGACCACAGAAAGTGGATATAAAGAAATAAGGTAAAGAGTGTGTCACAGATTTATTTAAACTCTAAACAACCACACGCAGTTTGTCTGAACTCTATCTTAACAACATTTATGGGTTTAAGATGGATTTTCTGCTTCCCGGGGAGCCATTGATGAAGGATTAATTGATTGTTGTAAGAAACTCAGCTTAGGGGAGATTTGAAGCTTGCTCAGCTTAACTTTTCCAACGTGCTGAATGTTCAAAAATAAAAGGAAAGGCTCATCAATGCTGCTTGTTTGTGTGCTCTATGTTAGTTTGTGGGATTCTTCAGTATTTTTCCAGGAAATCTACCTCTATAATCTATGGTTAAAATGACTTTAAAAATGCTTTGTCATACCCGCTTACAGTTTGGACTATATGCAAATCACCTACCCCAGCCCCCGTTTACAACTTGCAAAACCTTTTTATTAGTTTGGCATAAACCAAATCCATTTTGAGGTTGCAATAAAGACAAAGTCTCGGTGTAAGAGCTCTGACTTCAGTGATTGATGACATCTCAGGCAGTTTTATTTCAATGTTGCAGAATTCAGTCTGAGGTACACCACATATTCACACATTCTCACATTATCAGCACATATTTATATATTATAGTGAACTCAAAAGTCACAGTAGTAATACTCCCTATTTTCTAGGGGTGTCCAGATACAACTTTTTTACTTCAGATAGGATACCAATATTAAAGCCTTCAGTATCGGCAGATAACAATATTGATCTGATATTGGCACAAACTTCTGCATTACAAGTTTTGCACTCCGCTGCGACGTCTTTTTTGGGACTTAAACAAAAAATACTGCCTCATGGTCGACATCACTCCTACTCCTTTCCACTTTGTTAGTACTGTAGTACACACTGTTGTTGTGATTACGTGGGCTCTGCATGCTGGATCCGGGCGCTGCTAGATAGAGGAACTGGAGCTGAGTCTAGAATGGACTGCTTGTATCGGAGTGATATCAGAGATTTTAGATGCAGGCCGATATAATCTGATATTCGTTTTTTTGCTGATAGCAGACCGATATTGGAAATCAATATCCGATTGGGACGTCCCTACAATTTTCCAGGTCATCCTCTATCACATTAAATTCACCAGTCAGGTTTAAGTGTTTCATAATAGTCTCAGCAACCAAACTGAACACTTTATAACAGCTTGAAACACTTTTCAGTCACATACTGTAGAACAACTTATCTGTACAGAAATCTTAATAAATGATAATCTCTTTGGCAAAAATCAAATGACGCATCTTTCACTAAAAAACACTGGCTCCATTTAGAGAGAAGAAAACTGCAGCCTGCTATAATACCTGCTTGTAAGCTCTCTGACATCAAATGATGTCAGAATTTTCCTAAAAAGACACTGAGAGCTGCTCAGCTGTCGGGTTTTATCCACAAACTGAAACAGGATTGTGACTTCCTTCCTCTGGCAGACTCGACTGTCACAATAGCCAAGAAGAATATGATCGCTCTTCCTCCATCGTCATCGCTCCCTCACTCAATGTGATCGAGAATGCAGAAGCGCTTCCTCTCTTTCTCTCTCTGCTTGTGACTGAAGGAATGTATCAGCAACAGAGGCGAGGAGGTCAAAAACACGCTCCATTCTGCAGCTGCCTCTGGAGCATATTAAATAACACACAGTGATTCTCAGTGTGCTCTGTGCATGTGTGTTGTTTCTGCGAGTGAAGAGGGCTGATGAGCACACAAGATGATTCACTGCAAAAACAGAGACACCCTTGGAGTCTTTCAACTTCCACACGTCGGTTCGTTATTCCTCTCCTGTATTAAAAACAAAAACATTCAAATTTCAGACTTTCCAGTCTTTAGACATGATCTGTGCTGCACAGCTCATGGAAAACAAGCACGCCTGTGTGTCACCAGGGCCAACGTGTGTTGACGCATGTTGTAACTATGTGTCACATGATGTGGATTTGAAAACTGAGGAGTGGTTTTGAGTCCTGTGTATCCCAAACAGTCGGGATCGAGATTTGGCAGCAGCGAAGCCGTGTAATGAGTTACAGACTGTTTCTGCAGCCAGTGGATTGTAGGGATGGTTACGATGGGTGGGCAGACTGGCTCTGATTAAATTACTCTTGCAACATTTAACAAACACTAACACACAAGAACGCACATAAATCTATATGTTTGCCTCATTCAAATATTGCACTCTTGATTCCAATAAGGGAAAATGTCAAGTCTCTGAGAGGTGTGGTCATGGAAAGTCTTTTCAGACTCTGTAGATCCACCCAACCACATGTCCTCACACATACAGGCTTTGGGAGGCTCAGAGTGACCTTTTCCCTGTTGTTATTTTATTTTAACAGCTGCATTCCTGCCTGTAAAGACCAAGTCTTTGACTTTCCTCTATGAAGTTTTAGCTAATGACAACCCCTGAACCCCATTCAGAATTTCCCCTGGACCTGCTGCTAATACACAAACATGTGTACCCACAACGCACACAAATAAATGCATACATTCACCAGCAGACCCCTTGCCTGGCTGATATTGACTCTCTCTTATCTCCTAATTGGAAAAGCGGATAGACGGAGAGACGGCTGAGTGAAAACACACCTAGGAGTAATCAACTCTCGCTCAAAGACTAAAACCCATTTCACGGATCAATGTCCTCTTTCACTGCTGCCTGTCTAGTGTGCATGTGCCCCTGCCTGTCACTCTTTATGCCTGTCAATCAGTCTCTCTCTCTGTGTATGGCCTTTAAAACCTTCAATATATACATGTTCTTCTTCTGAAGCAAGGGTAAGGGCAAAAGCAAAGGGGTGAATGGCAGCCGGAGTTGGTTTACACCTGTTTGAACTACCCTTGACATATCTCCCAAGCTGGCGGCCGGATGCTCGCCTGTCTGCTGGTCGGACATTTTCTGTCTGTCTATCTGAAAAGTGAACAAGTGATGACCTCTGGCACCAGCAGACGCTTGAGTAACATTAAACTCCTTATCATTTGCACAAGTAACCTTGCATGACATAAACAAAGTAAAGAGGGAAGCAGAGCAGTGATGATTAAATTCTGCTTTTGTCATGAACAGTTGGTGTAAGGTTAAATTTATATTTCAAGTGCAGCACTGTGACCTACCTCCACACCCAAAATGTGACGTGTTTCAGAACAGTCAAGGATCACTCTTTCGGGTGACCCAATTGGCTTTAATTTTAATGAGAAAGTTAGATTTTTACAGCACAGCCATAAAGTTTGGATTGTCACAAAACCTGTCAGGACTTATTCAGCTTTAGTTACACTCATTACCGCAGCTTGACGTCACCTCATTAGATCACAGGCTAGCAGTGTCTCCTTTAAAAAAAACCCTCTAAACATTTATAAGAAGCTTGAGTCTGATGCTTTATACTCGCACCAGAAGTATAAGAAAATAAAGATTCCAAAAATAGTCACAGTAAAGACTAAGCCCACTTTTAAATCCGTGGTTTGGCTCATGCAGTCTGAATGAAAAAAACAAAAAAACAAACACATTGTTACATTTTAGATCTGGACAGGATCACAGCAAAAACTGTTTTTTAAGAAAGAGGCCAAGAGCAAGAAGAGATGTAAAAATTGACGTTGCAAAATGATCTGCACGGGGAAGTCCTTGAATTTTTATGCTTATCAGTATCCCGTGGTGTCACAAAGAGCTGACAAAGACTGAGATAAGTATCAGCCTAATCAGCATCAATAGCTTTCACAATTAGTGTATCTTCTCAGCAGAGGGAAAAACACACATCTTACACAGCTGTACTATAGAATTGCAATTTCATGCACTTTAAATAGGCATAACAGGACTCCACAGTGTGGCCGTTTTACTCGCATTTGCGACTAAAAATAGATGTGTGTGAATTGTAAAATGTATTTAGGGGTTCATGTGCGCATAAAGAAAATCAGCTGAGGCAACAAATATTTTTTCATGTAAATACCACGGTGAAGTTAGTTTTAGGTTGGAGATCCGATGGACATTCATTGCGGATCCAATGGTGTCTCCATAACTAGGAAAAGCAACAGCAGCGCGGTTAAATCTACTCTGCACCTTCGCTGTCAACATCGGGTGTTGAATAAGGGACCATCAATAAATTACCTGTTGATGTTCTCAAAAGAGGCTGTTTTCCTTCAATAGCCTCCATGTCATGTGACCAATTAACCTAAAATTGATTTCAAATAATAGTACTAAGGTCGGACAATAAGACACACCTCTTTATTTCCCTAATTTGTCCTCTAAAAATTTTTGTGTTAAATTTAAAGGCAAATCTTGAACATTTTCTTTAATAGCTTCCATGTCACGTGACCAATTGACCTAAAATTGATTTAAAATAATAGTACTTATGTCGACCAATAGGACACACATTATTTGATTAATTTTCATTCAGTTCTTTGTGTGCTCCTTACTTCTTCTACTTCGGAGCACATGTGCTCCTTGAGAAAAAAAAGTTAGTGTCAAGCGCTGCATAACTATGATAACATAAACAGAGGACACCTTAACAACTCCAGCTGTAGTTTAAACTGCATGATTCTCTGCTAAAAATCCACGACCTTGCACACTGACACCAGAGTTCAACGAGCATCAAATACACTGAACCAATAAAGATTAATCTGTAACGGCGCCATAGTTTGCTCAAGCGGCTGATTTTGGAGGCGTTCTGTACTTTCCCATGATAGACTGCTTCAGAAAATGACAGGGCTGCTCACAACTGTAAGTGATAAACTGAACACTAGTGTATTGTGGACTCACAGCATGAGTGAAATGAATCACTGCTGGTTTTGAATGATTTCTTGTTACTGTACAATGTGTTGTTTTTTTCCCATGTTCAGAAACACCAGGAACGGCACATGGAGACAGTTAGAATAAAGTAAATATTGTGTGCCATCAGATAATGGTATGGAATGGGACATGTTGTTTTTCAGGAAGTGTACATGGGTTCTTTCAGGCCACCACACCCTGTCATATCTAGCTGTTTTAATGGCTTCCTAGGGCACACTGTCCTGTTAATTATGGTCTTAGGATTTTCAATGACTTCCGTCTCTTCTAATACCACCAATCCTCTGTGGTAGCTCTGTCTGAAAGTTACATTTACAGAATGAAATGGCTCTCTCTGTGTGAGTGATTGTTCAGGTTTCAGGCCAGACGTCTGGCTTCCGGCGAATAGTTCATCACTGGTTTGGGCTTTCCCAAGAGTGGGTGCCGGAGAGGGGAGTGTGATGAGCAGAGTAAGAGTAAGTGACAGGACTGATATTAGCTGCAGGGAGGCGGCTCACCCTTCAAGCCGGACGTCGGGCAGTGACCGATTGAGAGCAATCATCTCCGAGGCCATGAGGTTGAACTGGTTGATCTTAAACATCTCCTTCATCTTTTCTTGGTTCTCTTTGGGGATCACCACAGGCTTCCCCCCTTCGCCGGGCCCATCCCGTGGCCTGGCCAGGGTATCTGCAAAAAAGACAAACCAGACAATCAGAGAATGCTGCCGTACGATCAGATTTGAATGTTTGGCAAAAACACACTCACCGTCTCTCCCGGGCAGTCCTCTCTCCTTTATATTATCGCACTTGTTGCACTCACTGAAGTAGAGCAGGATGAACATGTCCAGCATCACCCACACCAAAGAAGTGGCTAAAACCACCTTACAGTAGGCAAACCTCCTCATCCTACAGATGCAAATAGAGATAGAAAGAGAAGAGGAGAATTATTGAAGCACAGGATGAGGTGAGGAGTGATAGCAGTCCTGAGCTGATGTAAGCACAGCCTTTTTAAAGCTCTATGAGGGGATCACGCTTTATTTCTTCTCTTATCCTCTTTCCTAGCACCACTCAAAGCCCATCCTTCCCACGGCTCCACGACTGAGTATCATTTCAGCGCCTCTATTTGTCCCTCCTCTTCTCCGTCTGTCTGTCTGAATGCCTGAGTGAGTGACTGACTTACTCCCAGCTCTTATCAGCCGGCTGTTTATCAGCAAAAGCCTTCACACTCAGAGAAGAGCCTTAAAACCAGCGCACTGCAGTGAAAACTGTTCCGAGCCTTACCCTTTAGAGCATAAAATCTTTGACGGCATTTGTAAATTATGTAGCAGCAAACAGGAATTAGTTTATTTTGTGTGGAATCACTGTTAGCACAATGATAATCGACTGTTGTGTTTCTGGAGAGGATGTTTTGTGGTATCCAAACAATGCTCGAGCTGCTCTCAAAGCAGAGTCACAATATCTGAGTTCCTGTACGTGCTGCAGTGTACAAGCTGATCAGCATACGACAGAATCCTTGCATACAGCTAAACACACACTCACAGGTAAGCACACAAACACAGAAACACACACAGCAGAGAGAGGGAGCTGTGATAGTAATTGCTTTTCTTTGGCAGGCAGTGAGAGTCAGACACAGCCACATTAAAATTCCCCTGCTCTCCTTTCCTTCTCTCCTCCAGCACCATCTCTCCTCTCTTTGGCTGATTCTCTGCCTCACTGATCCCTCAGGTTGCAACAGCACAAGCAGAAGGGAGAAATTAATTTGGCCATGGTGATTTCACTCGTTCTCCCAGGAGGAAAAAAGAAGACGGTGTTTGTGCACAGCTAGCTTAGCTTAGCTTAGTTTGGCTTTGCATAACAGCCACAAAGGATGGGGAAGTGCAGAGCAGCGTTTCTAAATTCTACCTGATAGGATTCTGGAAGCACAAAGTGTGGGCACAGCAGGAAATGAAAGTGTAGATCTGTTCTCTCAGAGTTTGTGTTTTCACAGACTTGGGTGCTCGCTGAGGCCAAAAGTTTGAACGATGTGACACTGTGAATTTAACTTGTTCAGACCAGTCAAAGCCAAGAACCTTCAGCATGCACAATATGGAAAAAGTCCATACTAATACATGCTTAGATATATCAAAAAGTTAAACCACCAAGTTCCTGCCACAGTCTTTGATTCCTCGAAAGCAATCCGGTCAATGGAAATGCAGCAAAACAAACTCACAGTTGTTCACCTTTGGTTTAAAAGTCTGAGTCAGTTTGACATCAGACCATTTGACTGTAGCTCTTACCTGCACTTCTCATTTCTTCTCTTTACCTACGGAGCTGTATTATTAGTTTTAGACACATTTGAATCCTGCGATGAATGTGTATTCTTTATCTTACGATTATCTTTTAGAGTTATTACAACATTTAATTCACATCTTTACAGATAGTCCTGAGTTAGGAAATATATCTATATATTCTCATAATTGATCATCATTAAAAAACAAACAGTGTCTGGTTTCAGGCTGTCAGCTGCTTTACTTTTTGTGCCAGTTCTCAAAATATTTTGGTTTCAAATTTAAGAACAGAATTTTTAGCTTTTAGGAATTGAAATGAGTAATTTCCAAAGGTTATTGAAACCTGTAGGTCCAAATACTTTTGGATTGACTTATAACTGAAAATATGAACTCCAAGGGAAACGTTTGTCACTCTAAGTGTTAACTGTGTCTACCTTATCATAGGGGTGGGAATCACCAATGGACCCAGGATACGATATTATCGCGATACTTGCGCCGTAATATGATATTATTGCGATTTTTAACATTTTGCAAGACAATTTATTGCGATTAATACAATTTTTCAACTGTTTAGCTAATTTATTATTTGGCTTTCCTTTATGTTTGTCTTATTTACACAGTATTTTGTTTTCATGTAGCACATCTTTCAAACCTCATGTGTCAGGTCCATCTCATTTGTGCCCAGCTTGCATTCCTAACGTCCTTCCCCAGGTGCTGCCATGTTTGTTGTACATTCTCCGTTTCTCCTGCTCTATGACGTCACCTCTGCCAACCTCACTGGACAAACAGTTGATTTTTTTTTCCATTATCAAAGATTTGGCTACATATAATTTAATTTAAAAAAAAATCGATACTTGATGAATGAGACGATACGATATATCACCAGACAAAATATCAAGTTACTATGCTGTATCAATTTTTTCTCCCACCCCTACTTTATCACTATCTACCAAAGAGGTTTTGCTTGTAACACACTTTAATTTGTCAAAATTAAGTGGAGAGTTAATTCATAATTGAAATCTCCTATCTGTAAAAGTGAATGTATTTCATGTATATATGTATTTAAGTATAATCCCTATCATGTTTGGTTCTGATGAAACAGTAGTAAGTTAACATTTGTGAACATTAACAGCTTGTAATCTCATTTTCTAATGTTGCGTCTCGGTTTACTGAGTGACAGTACCTGCATCCGATAACCTGCTGGAGGTAAATGTGCAATTATACTAGAGGAGACAGAAATACCTCTCTGATTTCTGTGCTGTCTCGATCGCGATTAGCTCAGCGTGTTCACACCCCAAACTGTTGTTATGGTTCACACATATGTGTTACTCCTAGTGCAGTAAGTGTTGAGAGAGTGTGGGTGATAGCTGAGTGCTATAAATTGTCAAGCTGTATCGTTTGTCACGGTATCTTACCAGAGCTTTCACTCTTGCTTTTTTTATTTATCTACTTTCTTTGATGTATAAACTCTCTACTCTCTGTGAGACACAGTTCAGTGTGTAGCTTCAGTCAATTTTCAGTGTTCACAGCTTCCCTGAATAACTCAAATACGAGCTAAAAGCCAGCTTTGTCCAACATCGCAGGGAGAAAGACACTAAACAACACCGGCCTGGTATTTTCCTGCTTTAAAACCATCTGGAGAATTCACTTCTTCTACCGGATATCCTCACAGAATTAATCAAATTGCTTGTTTCACTGTTTGCACGGCTCCACTCATAAATTCCTAAAATTCCACGATCAGCGGGGTGCTTGAAAATTCAGCCTTCCCTCTCCAACATCTGCAGGATCATGCCGGCCTCGCTTGACCTCTGTGCAGCAACATGACCCAATCTGATATCAACAGAAGGAACATCGAGGCCACTTTTTTTCCCCCCAACTTTACTGGTATCTTTCCCAGCAGAACTAGATACACATGCCAAACTTAGATCAGCACATTCGAGCAGAGACAGGCGCTGACATGGAAGCGCTTCATCACACAAACATATAAACTCTTGCTCACAAACTTGTCACAATGCTGTCACAGAGATGTCAGCTAGTTTCCTAGGGTGCTATTAGATCCCAGTGAGAGTAACAGGAGCAGACAGCTGCACTCCAAACAGCAGCAGCAACAACAGATTTATATGCATGTACATTGACTTTACGCAAGCACTTCTGTCTCTCTGCTTTACAGCTCCGCTCACTGTATTTCTAATAAGGCATGGCAGTGGACACCTCAGGTCTCCTCTGCGCTCACCCTCACAGCCCCGGGTCGTGCTTTACTGTGTGTGTCGTATGTGTGTGTGAAGAGTGTGTGTCAGTCTAGTTTATGTTAAGCACTAGAGTCTTTGAAGTCTTTTGTAAACAGCATAGCTCCCTTTGACATTAAACAGACGCACACTTCTCCGGCTATCCATATCCCGGATCCATTGATAAATCACATTCCCTCTATCCATCTTTTATATCTCCATTTTGGTATCCCACCCTCTTTCTCTCTTTTCAACCCCCACCCCCGCCAACCTGCTCCACCACCTCCTCCTCCCACATCTCTTAGTGATGCTGTTTCCTTTCAAGAGCGGTTGCCATCACTACACCCCGACAAGAACACAATTTCCCCCTTCACATCCTCCTCTGTGTCGCTCTACATATCCCCCTCCTCCCCGCTCCACCTCAGGCTTAATCCCCCTATAGAGATTGCACAACCACTTTTTCTCACAACCATTTGGAAAAAAAAAAAGTCTGGTGTAAGGGTAACTGAGAGCTTGACAAGTAAGAACTGGGAGTGAGGAGACTCCCTTCTGGGCAGTTTGTGTTTATATGTGTATTAAAGAAAATGAAGCAGACGGGAGGGAGATAGAATTTATCGAAGCAAGGAGCAATGAAGAGTCATGGTGTCATAACTCAACACAAAGTTTGTTCTGCTTTATTATTCACTATTAAAAGAGATATTTCGGCGTAAAATTAAGTTAGGGTCAAACACACCGTAACACCGAGTGAAACACCCCGTTGAGAGATGAATGTTGCCGACCGCTTGCTTCTCTAGTTATGACAACTTTAGTAACGACCGCAGAATAGCAATACAGAGAACCACGCGCACAACCAAAACGCCACTCTATAGCCACAAATAATGCTCAGAACAGCACCTTACTTTCTCAACAGAACATATAGGGTCCCAGTCATAGCACTAGCCACCAAACATCTTTTTAGCTTTGCCTGATTTCTTTAGCAAAGAGACTAAACACAACTCAACCACTCTCTTCCAGCAGCTGCTTGTTTGTACGGAGACCTCATGGCGAGTCCATCGACTGCAGCGGGGTGACGTAGCTCAAGGAGGAACATTTATGATCATTACTTTATCATTCTCTGAAGTTATAATCACCATATTAATCATTTTGGACTGCAGACGCGGTAGTTCTTCTGCCTTAGCAGTTCAGTGTGATTGCATTTCCATAAAGAAATGATCATAAATGTTCTTCCTTGAGCTGCATCCCCCCCTGCAGTCGATGGACTTACCCGGGGGTCTCTATACAAACAAGTGGCTGCTGGAAGAGAGTAGGTGAGTTGTATTTAGTCTCTTTGCTGAAGAAATCAGGCAAAGTATAAAAGATGTTTGGTGGCTGGGACCCTATATATCCTGTTGATGAAGTTAGGTGCTGTTCTGAGCATTATTTGTGGCTATAGAGTGGCGTTTTGGTTGTGCGTGTGGCTCTCTGTATTGCTGTGGTCGTTACTAAAGTTGGTAAAAGTAGAGAAGCAAGTGGTCGGCAACATTCATCTCTCGAAGGGGTGTCTAACTCGGTGTTACGGTGTGTTTGACCCTAACTTAATTTTACACCGGAATATCCCTTTAACACAGTTTATTCTTAACAAAACCAGACAACTTTATTTGATTATCTTTCTCTGTCATAAACAAGCTCACCAAATGTATGTTGTGGTGCATCTTTAATAATAAAACCAAAGAAAGTGCCATTGAAGTCAAAAAGCACTTAGTGGGTCTTGTGGGCTTGACAGAGTTGAAAGCTGATGGGTGTAGTGATATGTTTGCATAGTTGTAATTCCTCTTAGCTTAAGTAGAGGCGCAGCCTGATTCTAGGGAGGGGAAAAGATGCTGCTTGTATCCATTGCTTTCTATGGTGTAGCCATGGCACATAGTCACTCTGGGTAAAAATAGAGGGGTCAATTCTTTTTAAGTCAAAACCTTGATTATGCAACATAGACAGATCCAAAAGAGGAAGGGGAGCCAGACACAGACTGTTAGACTGAGTTCATTATGGGGAACAGAGCACACACATCTGTCTAAACTTCTTCAGACATAGGTTCAACTTTAGAGGAGTAAAGCTCTGGTAAGCTACAGGTGGATAACTTTGGATTCTCAAAGTTAATAGATCTGAACAAAAGAAGTCATGAGCTCTGAGTAACACTGAGTCATGAAGAAAAACAAAGACAATGAGGCAGCCAAACAAAGTTCTTTACGAAGGCCAAAAGAAAAACACCGAGTACTGCCTGTGGTAAATTTCAAGTCCCAGCTGACATTGATTACCAGTCAACAGCCTGGCACAGGCACAAAGTGGAATTAAATACTTCAATCTCCAATTGCTCAGGCATTTTCGGACAAAATCAATACACATTATTGTCACAGTGGGGCTTCCCTAGTCATTGGAGAGAACCCAGCTAGTTCTCATGCAGTACACCACGGCTACACAAAGCACATTCAAAAAAATAAACATTTACAGCACACATAAGGTAACACAAACCACAGCAGTGGGCATGTATAGATGTGTGACGCCAGTGTGCTGCTATTATACATTTAACAGCTCTTTAGCTCACTTTCTCTCTCCATATTTCCTCTCTCTTACTTTCACCTGACATGGCATGATGCTGAGGTGGTCATGACACCGCTGTCACTGATTTTTTTGCCGCAAAAAAACGTATGTTACTAAAATAATTGGTATGCTTTCATACAGACAGTTGATCAAATCATCGTATCTACAGTAAGAGGTACTTTACCTGGCTTTGACCATATTTGGGCCGCTCTTAAGAGTTGCTACCTTCCAGCACTAGTGCCAAGCAGGCAGGATTTATGGGGCTCTGGCTTCACAGCGGGATCTCCCCGCTTACTTACCACTTAAACAGTCCAGCTCTTTTATCTCCACCCAAAAATGTAAAAAATGTGACAGGCACCTCATTACCCATCGCTTTAGCTTTTAAATACAAGCCTCCCACATTGCATTTTGCCTTAAATTTCTTAACCCGAATCTTTTAACAGTCCCATGAGCAAATAAGAGCTGTGTTCTTCAAACTGACTCTGGTTCCTCTTAAACCAGCTGTTTGAATTATTCGGTTTTATTGGTTCCGGGAAAGCTTTGAGGAGACACCAAAGAACTGATGTCAAAAAGTTAAAAAAGCTCTTCTGCTTTTCTCAGATGATAGAACATCATTCATGTGCATGTTTGAGCTCTACGAGTACTGCATTAAATAAAAATTTGCCCAATTGTATTTAAAGCACGTACCCCAATGTATTATTAATCTCACTACCACTTACCACTCGTACTTCTTGTTTTTGAGAAACATTAAGCTCTACTTTGTTGGTGTGATGCCGGTCCTATCTGATTGAAATTTTGTGTTGTTTCGCAGCTGTTGGGTTTCTCTTGAATACAGAGAACATGTGTCTCAACGTGACAACTTGTCTAAATAATAGAGTTTTACTTTCGGAGATTAATTTTCTTGTACCAACATCGGTTCAATTTGAAAAATTATTTTAACATTTACAATGACAGCTCTTAACTCTACCCGAGGCTGAGTCTAACTAATGTTTCTGAATTGTGAACTCTGCATGGAAAAAAAAGATAAGTTATAACCAAGAGCTACACAGCTGCACAAAAGCTGCACATTGTGGACTTTGCTTTGGGAATAGGAAGACCCTCAGAGCCGTACTGCCTTTCATATCCTGCAGTATATACGACACTTGATGTAAAGCATGGCAGTTCTTCATCCTTTTTGATTGTGCTTGTTTCTGTATCTAATTCTGCGTTCGAGTTTTCTCAGAGGTCAGAAGTCTGGGCTGAAAATGACGTCACACCTGAGTTACCAGTGTTTCTGTTACCAAGTCGGAAAAAAGCTAAATCAGGGGTGGAAACAAGATGACTTCATCTACCAAAGTTATTTTAGCTCTTGCCTTGTCCGAACAAAAGACAAGCGCTAAAATAACTTTCATAGATGTAGCCATCTTGTGTCAGGCCTCCGATTTTGCTTTTTTCCGACTTGGTAACTGAAACGCTGGTAACTCAGTGACATTATTTTCAGCTCCAACATCTGACTTCTGAGGTAACTCGAACGCAGTCCCTGGTCTGTGCAAAATGGCTGAAGAAGCTCACATGAAGCATATTTAACCCAATGCTCCAATGCATGATATACATTTACACACATACCTGTTCAGGTGACTATGGGGTCTCTGGTCAGATGTGCAGGATGCTCCACCAGCTGGAGGGCGGAGCGTCAGAGATCCCACTTCCTCCTTGTCTCGTCACTCAAACATGCTCCTTGAACAAGAGAGGAACAGACACAGACTTTAAACACTGTTCAGCTGTGTGAAAAGCCAGCAGCGCGCATGCTAAGCAGTTAAATATAAATTCCTAATCCTCGGGTGATCTCGACACACAGAGATTCAAAGTCAGAAAATATCCTCAAGGAGCTTTGTCTCACTTTCATTCATCAATGAAGCGTTACAGTAACAGCACATACATCAGGGATTGTGGTTTTACCCAATAGCTTGGAAAAGAGACAGCGAGCGTCCCGATCTGCAGCTCAGGGATGTAAAATCGCTCTGCAGCCACAGGGAGGCCCAAGAGAAGTTGTCAGTCAATAGCCTCTCATATAGTTCCTGGCTCGCACGCACTGTAATAACACTCATCTCCCTCACATAATCACACAGTCGGAGTCACAGTGTCACCATGCATGTTTCCAGCTGTCAATCATTCACATTTGTCAGCCCAGCCCCGTATCTCTTTGTGTTCTGATATAAATCCATCATCCTCCCTCCGTTCACGCCAACCCAAAGGTCAAACCCAGCCAAAGACTCCAGCAGCCTCGGAGGGGGGATGAAAAGAGAGAGGGAGAAGACAGAGTAATATGGGGATGGACAACTGACGGATTCTCAGAACTGCTCATTTCACAGGATTAATCTGCTATTTTTGAAAAATCCACAGAGAATGAAGATGAGAATGAATATGACTCAGTTTGGGCTTATGCGTGTGTACGTGTGTGTCCTTCAATCTGGTCCTTGGCCTACTTCAAAGCCAAGCCATTGCTGGGTCCGGTGGGATTTCATATTACCAAGCTGTGCATCAGCCTGTGTGCATATTAGGAGTTTGTAAAAAAAAAAAGAATAACCTATTAATACTATTAATCTCTTCCTGCCAGCCCACACGCTCCTGCACTAGTGAGTCTGAGGAGGCTGTACTGCAGTGCAGGTATGCCTCAGTATGAGAAGGATCCTGGCCTCTCAAAGTATCTCTTCCAGGGTGAGTCATAACTCCTCACTTGCTGCATCTTTTACTCTCCGTCTGTCACTCTCTCCCTCCATCTAACGCACATATGTCAGACTGTCTCTCTTTCTCTTCTGTATTAGTCCTTTATTTATCTCACTCGCACGGCCACAAAGTTTGAGTGGAACCTTATCCATCTGCCAATTGGAGGAAGGACGAGCAAAAGCTTCTATAAATACTCATGAGATTCCCCTGACGAATTACAAGAGAAACCTACAGAAACCACACGCAACGCTACAGTGCAAATAGCAACCCATCTCTCTCTGCCAGCATAGCAAAAACCTTGTCTTTTTCACATTCTGTGTCTGCTCGTCTCATGCTGTCGACAATACATGAGCGCTAGGAAGGAAACCCAACAAAAGAGCAACCACAAAGACGAAGACAATTGAACACGCTGAGACTGAGGGATCAAAACGTGAACATCATGGTTTTGTAATACTGTACTTTCTCACTGTCTTGAGAATAAAACACATTTGAATTTTAACAAAGGGAGATATGCATGTCTGTGTGCTTTTCTGGGCTCGTCTCCAGCTATGCGGTGAAGCTGGGAGGTCTTCCAAGTTACATGCAGCAAACGCAGCACTCCTGCCACCGGGGTGTGAATTGCTTTTTTGATAAATGTAAACCCTGGCCCCCTGTCCTTTTTGAGCCACAGAAAGTAGTGGTTATATAAACTGCTGCACATGTTTGACACAAAGAGGCACACACCTCAAGATGTAATGCCTGAGCGGTTAGGCGAACAGATGGGCACTTAAGCAGATGTGTAATGCAACGCAAGTGAGCAGAGATGAACCTGTCCAAACAGTGAGGTATGCCAGCGGTACATGACATTATGTTGACAAACACTTCACTGACTCAAGCATCCACTACAGAAATACACTGTGTGTGTGTGTGTGTGTCTGCTACTGAGTCGACTGCAGGTTGACAGGACTGCAGTACGATCTGTTTTACATGCTCTGCTGTATGAGACCCACCAAACTGGTATGCAATGCAATACTGCACACTTAAACTCCAGGCAGGAGGCCGCTCCTGGCTGCTTGACTTGACCAAGAATGTAAACATTGGGCATTAAGGTGCAGTTAGGCTGAGGAATGGCATGAGACAAACATTAGGGCTCCAACAGCTGTTGTAGGGATGGGCATGATTAATCGATGATTGATTTACCAAGAATTATGTCGATCACGCAATATTTAGAACGATCTAACCTTATTAAAAAGGCTTGACAGTGTGCATCCTCCAGCTGTTTTCCAGCAAAGATCAACCTCTGCTGATCTGGAGGTGATCTCTGTCAAGAAGGATCTGTAGGGTGACCAGTCGTCCCGATTTCATGGGACAGTCCCAGTTTAGGCTGACCTGTCCCAGGCTAAAGTTGTCCCAGGAAATGTCCTAGATTTTAGCATCTCATGAATGAGTAAAAAACAACGGTTATCACGGCAGCCAGGCAGGTAGGAAGTGCAAGTGAGCATGTAGTGCGCAGTGCTGAACAACAGCTTGGTGGTGGTAGTGGGGATTTCAATGAGGAAAAACACTTTTATGCTTATTTTTTTTTAATTCAATCAATGATTGATTGTTAATTAATATAATATAATCGATCAAGGGACTTTCTCAAAATGCCCATTCCTAGTCTGTTGTAAGACTAACATCAGTCACAGCAGCAATACTTTTTCAAACAAAAAATATTTTTATCTTCATCTATTTCAAAAACTTAAGTTAAAGAATTTTGTGATCAATTTGTCAGTATGAAGCACAATAACTAATTTGATGAATTTATCAAAACTAAAACAAACAAAAAAAATCAACAATAAGTAGACAAAAAACAAACACGATGTGTTATCAGTATCATATATCAGCTGACCTACTCTCTCACAATCTGGATCAGCAGTGGCTATTGTGCTCGGTCAGCCACTGGTCCTGATGTTTGGTTTACGTCTTTAACTTTTGAACCATGTGTCCCAGGAGGATTAGGAATAACTTTATTTATCCCGAAGGCAAATTCAATAATTAAAAACTAAAATAATTTAATTACTGTATTAACTCCACATATTCCACATTCCTATTCTGTTTATTATTTTCTTGTTGAGTATACAGTTAGGTGAACATAAGTGTTTTGCCACAGACTGTGCTCAGTGACAGCTGACGTAAATGATGGGCTCAAACTGCTGATCCCAAATGAATTTTTAAAAAAACAAAAAACACCAAGATCAGCTCTGATCCGGCAGTTCTGATGAGGACATCCCTGAAAATACTCATGACCTGGTCATCACTTTTACTGAACCAACTGTTTTCTAAACTCTAAAACATCCAATCTCTGCAGAAATGTACCGATAAAATCTGATGCCTTGGTCTCAGTACCCACACTGACCTCCAAAGCAGATCAGAATCAGAATCAGAACACTTTATTTATCCCTGGGGAAGACAAACTGGTTCTGAATGACTTTAACTTAATTCTTGTCTTGCTTGCTTATTTTCTCTCCAGCTGCGACCAGCTGAGAAGAATCAATACTGAAAACTCATGAGAACCAAAGGACTCAGTCCTCATTATCCCACCCTACTGTTGCCTCTATCTATGACCCAAACTAAACCTCCTTGAGTGAATCTGCCAAGTCTATCTCTTCTCCCACGCAGGCCTCTTTCCATTCAGTCCAAACCTACGTAATTCCTGACATACGTCCAAAAAACAACCAGCGAGACCGACTAACAAATCCAGAAGTGAGGATGAGCTCATGGGTGTGCTTATGATGAAATCTCTGCCAGCATGCACATGCTTTTTCTCTCTCTGTAAAGTCACACATCATCAGCACACACATAATACGGGTTGTGATTTATATTGCGGCACCTTGAAACATAAAGTCGGCATGTTTAAACTAGTGAGAGTCAGGCCTTCGAAGCAGAACTGTGGCCACAAAGTAGAGGAGCCCTGAAACAACCTTCCTTTTCAACAGTTTAGAGAAGTGTGGGCTGAGCCTTAACTAACAGACAGTCAAACCAGTCTTTCACAATTTCCCCAAGCACAGCATGAATAGCGTGACCAGCCAGCCATGGTGAAGCAGAAAACAAAACTGTTAAGACTGCCAGGGAAAGACACTGAGGAAAGAGGGGAGACGAAGAAAGGTGTCTTCTCAAAACTGTGTGATAGCTTGCTGTAAGCATAGTGTGTGTGTGTCTGTGTGTTCCCAGCAAGGGTTTCTACATGTGTAACGTGACTCCGTTTGTTGCATATGTTGGAACAGAGGGAGTCCAAGGATGACAACAACAAACAGTGCTCTGTCAATCTTGTGCCAACAGCACCTCCACCTCCAGGCAGGCCTCCAGCTCTCACTCACCTCATGTCTCCAGTGGTGTGGGAAAGGAAGGCCCAGAGGACCCTGCTGTCCCTTATGCACGCACAAACGCTGAATCCATGCTAAATAGGGACTAGAGGAAAAGTAACAAAAGATGGCAATAGCAGCATCGCATGCAAGTGAAGCTGTAGCTCAACATTTCTGACAGCTTTCCAGGGGAAGCCCAGGGAGGAGGACAGGAATACCAGGAATAGAGCATGAAGAAAAATAGGTAAGAAGCAGCTGGACACCAATATGTCACACTTAACCTAGATGAAACAAAAGAGCTTGCTTTACTTTCTATAATAAGGATGTGCTATGGGAGCAGGGGACCTGTCACTCTCGAGATCTACTGTACAAACTCACTGGGGGGGGGAGGGGGTCTGTAGGAAGAAAAACAAAGAGGGAGTACCAGAGAATATAAAAGGACACATGAAAGGAACAAGTATCAGAAAGACAGATCAGCTTCCTGTTTATGTAGAGGAGAGGGTACAGAGGGTATGCTGGTGAAGGGCCTGACAGGGATGACAATAACCACACACACAAACACACTGTACCTTTCCCCCCTCTGTGTCCTGACTGATTACACAGAACAGATTTAGCCGCAAACTTTCCCATTTATCTCTGTGTGTTTTCGGTGACATCTGGAGGCGTGTGATTTGTTCTCAGTTCCCTATCTGGCGGCTTGTCTCTGCTCTGGCCAGCAGCCGTGTTAACAGGATCAAGCTTAAGTGTGTGCATGCCCCAAGCTGTGTGTTCAAATGCTCCAGGAAACATTCCCAACCGAGGAGAAACTTCCTAGCTGCTCTCCAGAGTAAATCTCATCCTCTAGTGACATAGGAGCAAACTGCAGCTGTAGACCTTTCCAAAGCTGGTCAATAAATGAACTGGTAAAAGAAATCACTGCAGCCTTTATTTTAATCTTCTTCTTTTCTTGTACGTTATATATAACATGCAGTATATTTATCATATACTATATTTTGTGAAGTAAAAACAAATGTGTTTGTGTAAGTAACAGGACTGGGACGATATGCTTTTTTCCCAATTCGATTCTTCTATGATTTTTTGGATGCAGATTCCATTTAATTTGCGATTCTACAATATTGTCGATTTTTTTTTAGTAAAACAGTTGAATGATTACGATTGTCTACTGAATATTCCAGGAACCATATTTCCCCCAAAAATACACATTACATGTAAGTCAGTTTACAAGATTTATTTGTAAACTTGAAAGAAAAAAAAATTTTTTTTTGAACATAAAAATCGATTTAAAAGTTGTAAAACAAAAAATCACATACTTATGTGAATCGTTTTTTTCTCCCACCCCTTGTCAGTAACAATCTTGCGAAACACCTGTATTTTTTGCAATAGAAAGCCAACTTGTCATTCATCGTGCTGCATCTCTAAAATGACGTCACAGTGACAGTGTTCAATGTGTCAGATAAGCTTGAGTGGTTGCAGCGCATACAGCAGCAGAAAAACACACAAGTCAGAGGAGCGTAACTTGCAAAATATACATAATGTGAAGGTGTCCAAAGAAGCATTTGAAGATGCCCCTGAAAAGTTATTTCACATTAAGCAAATTTATGAATGTCGAAACTGTATTGCTAAAACAAATGACACAATCAACCCTTTATGTAGTATGGGACAACCTTTATTCACTTCACCCACACTAACGGTGCTTTATCATCATCTTATAGCATAAATTTGAGATCACACCAAGAAAGGGTATGAATATTAATGTAAGCATGTGGGTTTTTAAGAGGGCAAAGTCTGCTTTTTAACTGCGCACACTTCCAAAACATTACTAAACCTCTTTCCCTACAAGGCAGAGTAAGAGCTTTTAATGTAACACAACTTTAATGAGCACAAAATTAGGGTGAAATTATACATGTGCAGCAGCAGACATCTGGAGACCTCACATTATCTGCTGAGCTGAGCTCACTGAGTCACACAAAATGTATTTATCTATTTTCAACCACAACAAAAAGCACATTTGTAGTCCTCTCTCTCAGCAGTGAATGGCTTTTTTAAATCTCACTGTTCAAACAGAGCAGCGAAACTCATTTGTCAACATATGAGACATCCTCTATTAGCTGTATATGCAACCTACCCGTCTGTTTGCACACCGAGTCCATATTAACCTCTGGCTTTGACAGACCAGAGCAAATTTATCTCAGTAGCTGAGTCAAGTGGTCCATGTGCAAAGGCCATAGTCCTCCAGGCAGACGACCTGGGTTCAAATCTGTCCCTTTATATGTGATCCTCCCCCCTTCCCAATATCTGACTCTATCCACTGTCCTACCATCTCTATGAAGGCAGTAATAGCACCATTTTTTAAAAAGCACAACACGTTCATACAACTCTAAGTACACATACATGGACCTCCAACTCAAGCACGTACAGCTCATAATTCATTTAAGCAGGTAAGTCAGTAGTTCCTCTATACACACAAAAACACATTACATAATCCAACGAGCTTTCATTGTGAGCTCTAAATGCTCAGCAATACCTTTGTTTTTTTGAGTGCTGATGAATTCCACCATGAGCCTCTGAGCTCTTTTGAAATATAAAAAGGGAAAGAAAATGAACACGAATAAGCAGAAAAAAACTCTTCGTCTTTTTTTAATTCATAAAGCCTCTGTCCCTTGGCTTTTCACGCATGCATGCACGAACGAACACACACACAAACTTGCCTCGTTCTGCTTCTCTCCCTTTCTCCACCTGTGGCTGCATGATGGTTTGTACTACTGCAGAACGACATGTTGCAGAAACCGCAGAAGAAGCAGATGAGGGTTGATGAGGGTTCTTAGCTGGGCTGTCAGCTGATACGGGCTAGCCTCAGGATCAGCTGATATAACGTGAGCTAAGCTTAACTTTCGGATCCTACACTCAAAATTAAGATCCTGAGGAGCCAAAATTGTAATTAAAATTGAAACCCAATTAATCACACAATTCTATTTCAAATCTCTGAAAGCATTTAGCAAGGCATCACCAAGAAAAATGATCTGCATTTGTGGCTGTCCCAATTTTCATATGCTAGGGTTTAGTTTATGCCTGTACATTCAGACTGCTTGCTCCCAAATCCTCATTCCTGTACTCAAACCACCCAAATGATGTTTTCTAGGACAGACACTGCATACAGTCTAAAGCAGCTCCACCAGACAGATGGTTATAGATTTACACAACAGCTGACATGAGATTGTCGGAAAAATCAGACTCATTTTGACTGCTTGAATATGTCGGTGAAAATACCCAACGCCCAACCACTGGACATTTTACTAATCAGACTGAGATTGCTGACAAACTGTGTCGCAGGTCTACGTTAAATGTAAAATAAAAAAAATGATTTAAATCTCAAACACAAAGCGTAAGTTGTTGAGTGATTTGCTTTAGGATTATAAGGTACATGTTTTCATTTTCATCAGTTCATTTCCCCACAGTAAGCACAAAGGCAGTATCCTGCTGCCGTCTCCACACTGAACTGCAGCCACACTGACCCACATCCCAGCCTCTGGCAGATTAGGCTGCAGCATGCACACACACGCACAGGCACACAACAAGCACACACACACACATAACACACACACACACATTCCAAAGATACATGAGCACAGTGTATCTGACATTTGTGGCTTGTAGAAATGCAATTTCTGATGGCTTAGCAAACACACCCACTTGCACACACTCTCAGGGAAACACTGGGCCTGTTGTTCTGCAGTCCATCAGCCAGGAGTAACTGTTGATACGGCTATCAGTGTGACCAGGCCTGAACAACTGCACTCTATGAGTCCTCAGACACACAAACACAGAGACCGTACACACATTGCGTGGAGTCAGTCGGAGGAGCAGGCTGGTAGCAGATAAGAGCTGGAGATGGATGGTTGTGTGAGCCCAGGGGGGAGAAGTGTACCTGGGTCAGGGTAAGCCTGGGGCAGATAGCTGGCTCTGTCACACTACAAAGACAGAGCACAGAACTGCCACAGCAGGGGTCTGTCCTCTCTGCTCTCCTCTAGTTCTCTTCACTCTTTCACGACGTTTCTATTTGGGGAGAAGCTATGTTCGCAAAATGTTATGATATAAACCACCTTGAAGATGCCGCCCTAGCTTTGACAGGGAAGTCAAACTGGTTTCTCGTCTTTATTGGAATATTGTATTGCCAATAAATCTCTATCACTGAGACAGTTAGGTAAGGCTTTTAAAAGATCGAATCAAAAATGGGAAGAGTTAACTTTTGTCGGGACACAATTGATTTGATTTTGGTCTTAACCAGTTTTTACTATCATTGGTATTGAGGAAAAGAAGAAATAATTGATAGCGGACTTTGTACAACGTTGCCTCATCCCTGATCCCATACTGCCCCTGATTATTTTAGCAACATTAATTAGATGATTCAAACCCTACATGTGTAATGCTTAGATGACTCGACCACAAGTTAGGAGCTGATTGGAATGTAAATTATTACGAAGATATTTTTAACGCCTCTGACCACTGTGAGAGAATAGGTGTCGGACAAGATCATTTTCAGCACTCTGAAGAAAGACCCATATTTTATGTTTCTAGAAGAAATTTTCTCAGTAAGTGACACTTTCATTAATCAAGGAGCACCTTTTGGGCACCTGTTGTGTCCTTTCCAACTTTCTCTTCTTTGTGTCCAACTGATCCACCAACCAAGACACAAAAGCTGAAAATAATCTTTAAAAAAAATACAGTTCTAAACACATTAAGGCTCACAAACAAGGACACAGCGCCCAGTGATACTGGAGTATCATTGTTTCATCATGAGTCAGCAGAAAGTGGACATATTTCGCTTCCTCTCATAGCATGTGCAGTGAGGTGGGGAGATTAGGACAAGAAGCAGGGCGGTCGCCATGGAAGCTTTGTCTCTTCCTGTAGGGTCATACCTCAGGCTGAAACAGAAACTGTATGTAACACAGGGACACGTGAACAGCAAACCCTCACAAAGAAGGCAGTTGTTAAAGCTGAGGTGAATGAGGTGTAGGGTTACTTGATGCTTCGAGACTGAGCTGGTGCAGTTACTCCACTCGGGTGGTCAAGTCTCGACTTACTGCTTCATACGATCCAAGAGCAGGAACGGTATGTGAAGTCAAACACGCCGTGGGATGAGGACAAGTACTAAGGAAAAGCCTGTTATTCCTGTGACAACAAGTTAATTACAGTTTCTGATCCAATTGGATTTCATTTAAGCTAACAAAGCAGTAACCACATTTGGTGGTGTATAAGGACTGATGAAAACACGATCTGAATACTGACAAGACCAGAGGAAGCAGGGTTCAGCATCGACTTATAAAATGAATTATGTATTGTCTTTTCAACACACACACAAAATAGATCCATACACTTCTTACACACTATTGTGGTATCTGTATCCCAACACTGACATGATGTATTCATAGTTCAGCTTACCCTGGGCAATTCTCACAAATCATTAAGATATAAATCCTTGGGGTCATAGAATTTGTCTCATTCCTAGGGCTGTAAACTCAATGTTTTTGGACCACTGGGGACTTCTGAACACATCCAATCCCCTTTAAAAACAAATACAAAGTATTATATGTGACACACACAGATTATTTTAATCAGGTTTTTAGCCGCGCAGTGAATATAAGTTCATGGTTTACTCCTGATTTCTCACATTGACCTATGAGTGAGGCTGCATCACAAAAGAGAAGTAAAAACCGTATGTAGAGCCAGATTGACCACAAAAATACTCATAGTAGCTTATCACACTTCAGTATCATATAGCACTGAACAATGACTTAGTTCAACTCTCAAAACCACTGAAAGAGATCGTGTCTGTTGGGGGAACACTCCAACATCTCATTTTTCTATATTTCCTCTCTTATGTCACTGTAATAATCTGCAGGAAGGTCCTCCCTACTGAGGTCATTTTGAAATAAAGGCCCTTCATGTAAGAACATGCACTTAGAGAACATACAGTTGGGTTAAGGAGGTAGAAAAAGGCAAGAGAAAAGAAACCAAATGATGAGACTCCCTCTTCTTCAGAGCTACAATCTAAATGAGGTTTCTTCTAGTTTAATTTTTTTATTTATTTCTTTAAAGTTACACAACTTTCCTTAATTTGTGTTAACCACTCTCAGTGACAATAAACAAGTCACAGTGTCTGCTGAAGTAACTATCATTCATTTGCTGGAATGCAGATCATTTACAAGCTGGGACTCGCTTTTGCAAAATATTTATGTATTCAAAACCTCAGCAATGTATCACAGGCTTGAGTTCTCTCCAGGAAGTTTCTCCACAAGCTTGTGTAAATAGTGGTAATTACTGAGTACTCTAGCCTGCAGATTAAACGAAGCTCTGCTCAGTTTTGCACCTGACTCCGCTTGAATTATGGCAGCAGATGCAGACTTTATCCACAAGACCAGCTCATTATAAAAAAGACAGTGTGTTGATCCCTTTTTTTGAATAGCATTTAAAGTAATTTGAGCATGATCTCTCCCATATTTCACCAAAATTCTGTCTTGTGCTGTGGTGATATTACTGTCTACTTATTACCTAATGATGTTGTCTCAATTCAGCACCAACAACAAGAACATTCAGACAGGCAGACTGCAAAAACAGTCCATTCATTCCTCGTCAGAGGAGAACCAATGCAGGAAACAAGAGGCTGCAGAGAGGAGATGAAATAAACCTCAACTGAATACTGGGCTAAATCCTATTTCCTTATCATTATGCCAGCAGAAACAGCGAGTCCATCCAGCTGAGACACACACACAGTGTGACAGGCTCTGAATCATCCGTAGAGGATCTATATGCAGTCTGAACATACAGCCCCATAGATCCAGCCAGCTGCTTTTTTGTCTTGAAGGCTTTACCATTTCAAGAGAAGCTGTTGAGGGCAGTGAAGAAGACTCATTATCACTGTGAATGACAAACGCTGCATTCATGGTCTATCCGCAATCAACAATCGATGCCTACAAACGATGTACGATGTAAGTAAGAGATGCATGTTTGTGTCTGTCTTAAGCTGGTCCCAGTCTGAGAGGGAGCATGAAGCTTCCAAGACTCCCTGGTGGCACGAGCTGACCCACTTCTGTGCAACTCTATCCCCACTGTGACCTGCTGGAAAACCAGAGGACACACATAGGAACATGCACGCACACACACAAACAAACATCCACACACACACCAAAAAACTTGAACTGCCTGCAAACCCACAAGGACATAGGAAAATAACACTAAATGCCGCTGATGGCTATCTCTTTATCCCTCTCATCTCTCTAAGTTTTCTGTTTCTCTCACTTTGTCTGAAGATCAAACATTTCAGACTCGGCCTGATCTGATACAACTAAACTAGCAATCAACATCCGGAGTGTGTTTCTGTACAGTCTGCACTTTGTTGAGGCAGCCTGTTTCAAGATGGATAAGAAGGTTAAACAGGAGGGACATCTATCCTATCTCACTTTTAATCTAAGATGTAAATAGTTCCTTTTTATATGCTGTAAGTAGGGCTGGCCGATATGGCCTCAAATCAATATCACGATATATTGAGCAGTTCACCTCAATAACGATAAATGGACAATAACTACTCCACAAGCCGCTCACCCCCTCCCATATTAACTTCATCTTCTTTAGCCGCCACTCTAGCCGCTACAACTTTTGAACCGTCCTCCATCTCCTCACCTGTCTTTCCCTCTTTGTTTCGGACTGAATGGGGTGGAGTCACATCTCTGATGTAGGACAGTGTCTTAAAGGGACATGAGACCATAGCCTACTTACACACATCCAAAAACAACTTTTATTTTTTATTTTTTGACACCGGATACATTGACATGGGCAAAATGATGTTGGTTATTGTTGTAAATTTCGTTTTTGGTAAATTTTCGGTTTATCGCCTGGCCCTAGCTTTAATGCAGCACCAACCTGAGGATCTTGTGGCCTGCCAAACCCATTCTTTAGACTGCAAATGTTCAGTCACTCTCTGCTATTTCTTTTCTAATGAAGGTGGAAAAAATTGTCAGATCTGCTCGTGCATATATAACACAGGTGTCAGTTATTTTGCTGCACTGCTGGCTGTAAAACAACGACAGATGCTGCTAAATGTAAAGGAAGTCTGTCTGATGTGCTCTGTGATCAGACAACATTATTAAAAAACAAGACCCACCTTTTAGGAGTAGCTGGCAGGGAAGTAATCACATGTCAGAGAGACAGCCTCTGATTGTTCAATGTTTTCTTGTGAGAGGAGGATTTGATTAAAGAGACAACTTCAGAGTAAACAAAGTCAGAGTGACATTTCACAGACTGGAACAGATTATAGAGGGGCTGCCACTACGTTCTCGGCTTTCTCCTCAATGCTCTATGGGAAAAAAATTATATATTTTTTGGGGGGTCTCTGAGGTTTCTTTTGATATATCAACCCTAACATTTGCTCCTCATCCCCTGGACACACACAAGTGTCTGTATGCCTCAAAGCATCAGTGTGCTACCAAAACATCATGGGTTTTAGTGTATACCAAAAGAAAACAAAAGAAGCTAATTTCATTATAAAACAAACATCAAACATATGGTTTTATACATTTTGTATATTCAATATTCAAAACTCGAGCCAGTTCCATTAACTAGTTTCAGCATCTATGCATGAAAAACATTTGAACACTCTGGGCCTGATTCACCAGGGGATTGGAAGGTGTTTGTGCCAGCCAAATCTGTGCAAATGAGCCAAAAAGACAGTGACTGATCGAGTTAAAATTTCATTGTTTGCAGAGAGTTGGTGCTAATTGCTCTAGTGTAAAAACAAAAACTCTTTATCGAGTTTGTGCATGAGCTGTGTGTGCAGCTACATGGAGCCATTACTATCTCTACAATAAGCAGAGGTTAAATCAGTCATCAGCTTGAGCTCCATTCAGCCCATCATACAGACTTTATGGATATAATTGCAGATGGGAGGGCGAATGAGGATTCTTGGTGCAAGCAGCAGCAATCCATTTGTAGTGAGGACCAAGGTCTTGTTTTCTCTCTCCTCATCTGATTCAATTGCTCGATGGTATTTCAACTGCACCAGCTGCTGACAACAAACCGGTCATTTGAATCAGGTGTGCTGATGTAGGGAGGCATTTGAGCCACAGATGACAGCCACTGCTTTGGCATGACTGCTCGAACAACATACTGTTGCTCTGACACACCAAACAACGAAAAACCTCAGTTTAAAAGGTCTTTACACATCGGGGCCGACGTGAATGTAGAACACGAAATTACGAAATATTCGGAGGTGAATTCTGACGTGCCTGACTCTACACATCAAGCCCGATGCGATTTTGCGACTTTCCAGGGGGAAAAAGATGCATCCTGGGGAAGACTTTTCCCAGGGAAAGTCCCGCCTCCTTCGCCTCTGATTGGCTAGAAAAGCTGGAAATGTCATCACATGCTCAAGCCAAACTGTCAGCACTTATAGCCAATAAGAGGCGATAAGATAAGCACATGAAACTATGGTAACAACCGTTAGCGTACGTTAGCACAGATGAAAATTAAAACAAAGACGTTTAGCAAACTGTTAAAGCACAAAAACTATCATCATATGAGAAATCCGACGCTATGACTCTCCACAAGTTGTCCTTCAGGTCGTTATCTTTGTAATGTTTGTGTAAACGATCATAAACAATCAGCTGGTCGGCCATGTTGGATATAATCTGACGTTGCAACATGCAAAACTTTGGAAAAATCTACCGAAATAATCACACGACAAAAACGGTCCCGGTGTGAGAGGACCTTTAGCCAGTAAATAAGATTAAAATTTGTCTTTAAACTACTAAACACCATCCTTTACATATTCATGTACATGCACTTACTTTAATATGTGCAGTGATTGGGTGCCTAAGGGTGATGTCATGCCATTAAGTTAACATAATGCATCTATATTAATGGATTTAGAAATCAATTTCAAGGTCACACTTTCGAAGTTTGCTTTTCAGAGCTACAATGAACTATTTAAATATTTAACCCATAAAATCATTAAAAGTTTGGTATTGAAAATGATGGATAACAGTCACAATTTGTCTTTATCATTTTGTTGAGCCCTGGGCTCAAAATTCCTCACAGTGGAGGAAAACATTTTTGTAAAATGACTATAATGATTTACTGCCCCTCAGCTGTACTGGTGAGTGATTGTGTGTCAAGCAACTCATTTATTAACTGAGCAACTGTTTCCACACTAATTACATTTTTAAAACGCTTTTCATTCACTTCAAGTCTTAAATAGGTTAATCATTCCAATTAACACCAAAAAATCTCAAACCAAAAGAATTAATGTTTCTGTGGCTGCTTTTTAAGGCTTGAAATACAAATTAGTCACTCAGACAAAGTTATTTTTTTTAAGCTAGTGTTAGCTCTCAGTGGCTGTATCTATTTATAAAATCACAAAAGCAGGGTGACATAAGTTTTGGGGACACACAGGTTGATATGAGCTCCTGTTGCATACTGTGTAATAAGGGTGCAAACATGCCTGCATCTGTTTACATTGCATGTGTGTTTGCATGTGTGTCTGATCCGGCCATAGTCTGAAAGAAGGAACAATGGCATTCCTGTGCTCAGAGGTCCAGGTGGCTGTGGAAACCCAATTCCAAACCAAGCCTCGCTGGCACACAGAGTGCCGGGAACGCCGAATACTGCAGCCTCCCTCCGGAGAAATGAGCCAGAATAGAGCTATTGTTCCAAACCAGCTTGGGGCAATAAACGCTCTAGAGCCACCTTCTATGACAAACACATACACTTAAAAATCCTAGCTGATAGCAGAGGTTTTTACCATGAAATCTTTGGCTTTCGATTGCTTGCACTGAGCTGCGATACCTAGAAAATAAAGCTTCACTCTGATGAAAATTGCACAAAAAAGATAAAACACCTTGGTATCATCTGATCACAGGAATTATAATTTCTAGTTTTTCTGTTTTGATTAGACCAATCATCAACATCATGCTGCTATAAAACTATTACTAACTGTATAACTATTACACAGAAGAAACAAACACACTACCTATTAGGTAATACAAACCCTCAAATTTAGCTAAAAGCACAATGACGCAGCCAGAAACATCTTATTATCCACATATTTGATGCGAACTCTCATTTTTTAAGCCAAACACATCACTTAACATGTCCTAAAAATTGACACCTCCCCTCCCAAATACAGGATTTTCTCAAAAACAGGCACATCTGCCGACTCCTGAACACACAGTCAACACGCACAGGGCAGGAAACGCATCATGCCGACTCCACGGCCTTGAAATGAGGAACATGATTCATTTCCTTTCAGAGCTGGACAGTCATGGCTGAAGCCTGGGCTGATTTCAGATATACAGCTCTGAGGCCACGTCCTGAACATGACACACATACTGCCAAAGTCAGGAAAATTCCTGCACTGAGAACTTATTGTCTTGAGTACACACTTCATAACCAAGAGATTTCCTAATATACCTGTATACGGTCAAGTCAGTGCTTCTTTCAATGTAATCCAGATTTACTTCACATCGTTTCTGAGCATGATCAAAGCCGGCAGCTCAGGCACAGACACCATGGGACTAATCCTACAGGTAACAAAAATATACAGCAGCTCTTCTCCAGCTACACTGCATATTCTCATACTGCACGTGTACCGACATCACCACACACATACACACGCGCACACAGAGAATAAATAATACATGCCCCTTGTCTCTCTTCCTTTAAGGAACATGACAGATTAATATAATTGGTTCTCTGTCAACGCTACATCTTCATCTGCTCCTCTGCTACAGCACACTCCTGCAGGACTGATAGTGAATCCATTTTCTTATCTCTCCAGATAATTACAGTTAATGCCTGCTCACTCATGCACACCAGCTCTCTCCTCTTTCACTCATTCAATGAGTCTCGTTTTCTCACGAATGCACACATAGGTCAGGCCCCACATGCTTCAACCAAACCCTATAAAAGGTCTCTCTGAGATTGAATTACATGAAATGTGATTAACCTCTGTTCAGCTGTGAAGCAGGAGGGCCTTAAAATCCAGCGTCCAGCAAGGAAAGATCCAGTCACTGGTTGGTTTCCTCCTATTAAGCTAAGCTAAATCATCTGACCTCTAATCGGGACACAGGACAGCACCAACCGGGGGTTAAATTCCAGCTACGCAGCTCATCTTTCCAGTCTGTGATGCAGTACTAAAGCTGTATTTAATTATAACTTAACTTCAGATTCAAGGACTATACCTAGAAAAGCTGGAAATTATACCTAGAAATCAGAACAAGATTAATATTTTAAATTATATTATCAATAGTATCTTCACGAAGAATCATTCCTGCATCTGCAAGCTTGCATCCAGTTTGTCCACAAGTGTACAGCATACAAAGCCGTGCAATACACTTTCAACATAGGTATCTGAACTCACACTACACCTGCTCACAAGGGTGCTTGCTTGTGCATACATCTTGCACAACTGTCTTCTATGACCACATGATGAAGGTTGCCCTTCTACATTGTTACTAGCCTATAAAAACAGTAAAGTTCAGTATCTGTTCCTCTTTAGTGTTACACATTAACACAGCATTCATACCGGTGTTATATCTCAAATCATGTTCAGCACCATTCAGGTTACATACAGTTGTACGGAGACCAGTACAGTCAATGCTCTGGAAATATTCACAGTAACATGAGGAAACGTCCGTGAGGAAGAAGAGCACTAGTACGGAAGATTTAGTATCCAAACAGTTTAACCTCAAGCATAATATTATTATGGGTGTAACCATTACAGGGCGTTATCTTGTGTTTTAACTGTCATTTGAATAGACCGTTAGGCGAACTCGCTGCAGTCAAATGCGGCAACTGTAAGGAAATGTTAACCTGGCAGTGGCCCATTCACGACAAACCAGAGGTAAACGCCAGCAGAGGATGGCTCCCCAAGTATTGACGAGAGTCACCGTGGTAGGCAATGAAAGCTGTCGGTTTTTTAACCCGTTTCCAGCCTGTTGTGGCACAGCATTCGTCGGCTCATTGGCAGGAAATCAAAGTGACTAATGTGTGCTTAACGGTGAGTCGCATCACCTCCCCGTTGCTTGGCTGCTTCTGTCAACAAGAAGCTCTCTGCTACAGCGCCGCTCTGCTGCTGCTGCTAGATAACCTTAAAGCTTTACCAGCACCGCTATTCCACTGTGACTCAAAAAGAGAGAATAGACAGCAACGGTACGGCTTTTTTATATCTTTTAATCGCTTACCTTGAGTGACAGGGGACCTCAATCCACTGCTGTGGCGCAGAAGACCGCAGGCTCGCTTCGAGGCAGAAATCAGACGCCGATAAGGTTCAAAGTATCACGGCTAAGTTAGCGCGGCTAGCTTAGCTTAGCGAGCTAACGATGTGGGGAGTGTGGTCCTCTCTGAGTGTCGTCGAGGCGAAACAGAAACATCAGCGGAAAACCTGGAGAGGAGGTTTCTGTTCACGTAGACGGCGACAGTCCAGTGTCAAAGGGTGGTACCAGCGGAAACATCCATTTTGTATGAGCGTTAAAATGACTGAGCGCTTCAGTCGGTAGTAACGCTATGCGGTGTTATATATGTGTGTGTGTGTCCGGGCGGACGCGCTGCTGCCTCAGCCTGCTGCCTGGCCCTGTGTGACAGAGAGAGAGGGGGGAGAGATGGGGAGAGATAGAGAGAGAGAGAGAGAAAGAGAGAGAGAGGTGATGTGCATAGCCAACAGAGGCAATGGTATGCAACATCATCGCTTGTTACTCTTTCAACCCGGAAGAAATATTAAAACTGATTTAATCTCTTTATTGTATTGTTAAAAAAGTATTTGAAATGCATCCATATACACCGACCAGCAATAACATTATGAACACACAGGCAGTCTAGTGCTACCCAATACAGCAGCTCTACCACAGACTCAATACTTTCACGAGGTTTCTGCATTTTCAGTTTTTGTTGATAAGGTCTGACAGATTTTAAGAGATTTATGATTTTAGGTGATATTTAATTGCCAGAAACATCTGAGTACACAACAAATATGGCTACTCAAAGTCCTGCTTTCTGTGTTTTATTGAAATGTATTTTTGCTAAATGAAAATTATGCTGATTGATTTCTCATTTTGTGTAAACTCATCTGCACAAAAAACAGACTAGAAATATATCTAGATTCACAACAGCAAAAAGCCAGGTGTAATATGATGGAAAATCACATATTATAAATCAAAATAAGGCAAACATTTCAGTGTAGCAATTGTTCAAAGCAAAGGAAAAATGTTTTATGACAATCATATGACAGCCAAGGATTTCGTCAGCATTCATTTATTGTTTTATGATTTCAAGGAGGTGTTAGCGCATCCCTGCTCTTGTCCAGCTTAACTATTTATCAGGGAAAAAATGTTTCAGTACTTTGGACCTTTTGCAAGTGCTCTTATATGATGTATCCAGTTTACCTCCCTTCTATTTAGAACTAGGTCTTCTCTCTTTGGCCAGGCTACCTTGTCAATGCCTGGAGATCATCTATCGGTAATCCCTATTTCTCTTTATGTGGGCAATGATGAAGTAACACTGCCACAGAGTGGTAACACTGACCAAATTCTCAATTAAAAGGGAGTATACTGGATATTTACCCACAAACTTCATCCCCTAGAAGACTTAGATGCTATGGCATGTTCGGCTCTACACTTCCGGCTCGAACACACACATGCAACCCCTGAAGGAGTGAAGTTGTTCCACCCAAGCTTAAGCAGCTTGGAGATGTCCCCAGCAGTGACTCTTAAACCCTTTGAGAGCCCTCAGCTCCTCATTTGTAAAATGACATTTCCAGCCAACAACATTCCATTTTTTTGACTTTGTATGGTAAGTAAGGAAAAAAAAGAATATTAAGGCTAAAAGAATATTAACAGACCTCCTTAGGCTTTAAAACTGGTATCACAGGTTTTTGGCAAGCTCCTTAATCCCTTCTCTATCTCTAAGCTGTTTTGCTTAAGTTTTATAAATTACTACAAGGTGGCTGATAAGTCATGCAACACCAGGCTATAAGTTTTATGAAAATTTTACTGTCAGGGCACGGATGGTATAGTGGGTTATGTAAAGAGACATAGCCCTTCCTGCAGGGGTGATTGGTTTGATTCCTGGCCACAACCTTGAGCTGCAAATCTTCCCCTAGCTCTGCTCCCCACCTTTTTACTGTCTCTTCAGCTTCCTATCTGCTGAGGGCAAATATGCCCAAAAATATAACTTCAACCCAAAAGCACAGCTGGAAGTGGTAGAAATCTAACAGTTCACAATGACAGGGGACCATAACTTTAGCTTCTTTATTGGCCACTATTTTCAAACAAAATATCAATCCAACAAGAGCTCAGATTCAGCCATGTCATATATTGCAATGCACTGGGGATAAAATTGGACTGAAAAAGTAGTAGGACAGAAAATTGGCTCCTTTTTTCCACTCCAAGAAAAGAGGCTGTTTACAGCAAAGGGGAAAGAAAACTATAAATAAGATGTCAACAATATTGCTCACTATTACCTGTTCAGACTGCTGCTAGAGCCAGGTAGAGGACACAGCCTGACTTAGTGAGTTCATTTTCTTCCATTGATATCGTTTTAGTATGACCGCTCACTCGTCGCAATGGTAAATTATGTTTCTAACAGGTAACGCATTTCTCGGTTCAAGTCTGTAAGTGATACAGGGTGGCTGATACATGATGGGCAAGTCCACTTTTTTGGATAGTCCACATGCAAATTGGTTTGTGTCAGCATGAGTGCCAATCTCCTGTCGCATATAATGAAGTCGGCAAGAAGCTTTGTCTCATTTCTGTGACTCATTTCTGTATCTGCACAGACAGAAAACACTGTCTCAATTTAATGAGATTTGAATCGCAATACAGCTGCACTTCTGGGTCAGGTCATGTACAATGTATTTCAGGAAGCTTGGTGAATGATTAAATATGAGATACACACAGCTGATTTGCATATTCCACTGACAAGCTCTCAATATTGTATTAGTCATCATATGTCTGCAAAAGGTTCCCACAACCATTTTTTTTAAAACTCCTGTCGTCTTTAATTTTAATTATATTTGGAAGAAAGAACCTGCTGTCAGCTGCTTTTTGGGTTGCACCAAATCCACTTTAAACCTGTAAAGGCTTTAATTTAGACAAAGAAAGCTGATTCCACTTACTCGTTCCAAAAATATTCACATTGCGCAGCATGTGTGAGGGTTTAAGAGCAGAGCTTGCATTGAAAAGTTTTTGTTTTGGCGGCAAATAGCCTTTTTCTCCTTGCCAGAACACTGCTAAATACACTCTGAGATTTGCAAACTATGAGGTAGGGCTACAACAGAAGAAATACAGTGTATGTACTTTTTTACTGCAGTTTCCAGCCAGCTCTTAATATGCATTACAGAACACTACAAGCGAAATCTATAACTTTTCCTCTATAATTTGATGTTCAATTCATATTTTCGTATGAATAAATTCCAAAGATTACGTGAGATCTGACTTAACACAGACACACACATACTTACACACGCACACGTGAGATCTATCCATCCCCATTACAAACACTGACACATATCCAGCACCAGTCAATGGCCTGCTGACACGGATCAATAAGTTGTGCCGTTGGCTGTGGTTTACATGTTTGGCTCGCATACCACCCAGAGTCACTAGAGCAGAAAACCCCTCTAACGTGCTTACATAATTCACTACAATGCTACATTTTCTCTCAGCATGTATGAACAGCATTTGTGTTTAAAAACATTATAATCAAAATGGCTATTTTCAGTCAAAGTGTTTCTCCAAGACAGCTTAGATCAACATGAAACAGCCTCCCATGTTTGACAGCAGGGCTTTGTGTTGCACCCAGGTGTGCTCAGACTGTAAGGAGGAGTACAGCTGGTGCAGAGACTTTGATGTCGCTGGTTGCAGCCTGCTGCTCCCACCTGCTGCCTCCCTGATACAGTAGGTAATGTGTTCATGAGGAACAGGATGTGCTGGTCTGGTCTAGAAGCCCACAGTCAAAGCTCATAGTTTAACTTCGTACATTAAACATTCATATCTGTTTGCAACTGAGCTCCAGCAGAGTCTCCACATATACTTTATTTATGCAGCTGGCAGCAGCAGTGTGCCAGTGCTGAAAAATGAATGAGACATTTGGAAAGACCTTCCTCTGTCTGAATCAACATATCCCCTGTGACTAGACTCAGGAAGACATGACAAGACCAGAAAAATAGGAGTAAGGCATCGGAGTGTGTGTCTAACACAGCCCACATATGTAGTGTGTGTCTCCTCCACTTCATTCATTCAGGTCCTTGCAGCAGCTCAGAGGACACCATGTTGGATCAAAATGTGGTGGTTTCTTAATTTGTATAGATTTCTGCATACTGACAGCAATGTCCCAGCACAGACTGATCCAAATTCTGGAGGCGCTTTCCCTGTGAAGGTGTTTGTGACTGAATGACGAGAGGATAACCGTGTACCTCCCAAGGCACCCCACTTTAATCGTGCAGCAGATTCCCGGAGGCCATGTAAGCCTTCACAGCTCTGCTAATACACAAGCTTGTTCACTTTTACCAGAACTACTTCAATGATCCCTGCAGGGGAAGAGTCTTTCTTGCCTTTAGCGGGGCAAGAAGGACATGTATCTGTGGTTGCTTTCTCTGGCAGCTTTTTTCCACACAGTGCTTTCAAAATAATTATTAAAATACATACTTTCAACTTTCAATGTTACCTGCTTTTTACAAGTTAGGAAACTGGAGTTTTTGTATTATTACCTCAAGCTTTCATAAGCGGGTCAAAAATGACCTGCATGCATTTCCTGGAATTTCATGGTAAATATGATAGTGGGAGAAAATCAGTCTTTAGTAAATAAAACCATTCTGCTTTCCTAAATCAACCAAAAAATTTGTTATTATCATCCATTATTTGACAAAAGGGGAAAATGGTTTTTGGTATCAATATGGTTGCAAAATAAAATAAACTTTAAGCGTGTCTTCAACTGAAAGTTTTTTTCTTTAGACTAGATCTTTGCTTGTGCAGTCGTACGTCACTTTAAATGAATGAAACTGAATGTCATGCTGAACTTTCTTGATATTTATGGTGGTTAAAAGGGGGAAATGATAAAGTAAAACAAAGGCAAATTGACTCCAGGATTATTTTCTAAAAAGGTTTACCGTTACAATAGATCAAACAAAATACCATAGAAATCACTCAGAACTCATAGTCTAGTATTCCATGTGCTGTGAACCTTCTCAGGAGGTTAAGCGGCTTTATTACTGAGGTTTCTTGAGAAGCTATAAACTTAATTGCTTCCACAGTTAGTCTTCATCCATTATCCTCCTGTTTCTGTCAGTAAGAGCCTGTTCACACCTGGTATTTAAGTTTACCCAGCGTGATCCTATCACAGTTAAAAGAGGCTGATTAAATAGCAAACATCCAGCTTTGACCTCCAAGCAGACACACGGTGGCAGCAGTGATCCACTGCCAGGAATTAACTGCTCAGCATCACATCAACTCCGAGGGTTCAAGACAAGTCATTTAATTAGTTGTTTATGTGTACTCATACTTGATGATATACTTTGTCAGCTTTAAAAAAAAAACACTTAAGTGCATTTGCCTAATGTTAAGCTCTAGGCAGGGGTGTCAAACTGCCGGAACACGGGCCATTTCCCCTGCCCCAAACGTATAATAATAATAGCAATAATAATAATAATAACAGTAATAATAATGATAATTATTATTATTGTTGTTGTTGTTATTATTATTATTATTGTTACCCTGTCATTTAGAATAAAAATACAACACGTTTCCATTTAAATATGATACAAGATTTTGTAAAGGTCAAAGGCTAAATGTTCCCCATCAGGTCTTGTCTAGGAGTTTACAGCACCGCCTGTTCTGGGCTTTTTTGAAGAACTTGAATCATCATATGGTAAGGTTCTTTACATTACTTTACTTTACTAATGTTTGTCAGCTCAGCAGGAGTAATGTCATCAAGAGACTTTTTGAGTTTAGAGCAGAAGAAATTAATGGAAGATGACATGATGGATGTTCATGTATTGGATGATCCAGCACGAGTCATGGACCTTGTATTCCTTGTGGGGATAACACAGGAGCTTAACATCCTTAACCTGAAGCTTCAGGTCTGTGGTCAGCTCATCACAGTAGCTTATAAAAGTGTGAAAGCCTTCTGCGCAAAACTAAGATTGTGGAAAACTCAGCTCTCTGCAGAAGATTTCAGACATTTTCCAACCGGCTGTGCCCTCCTCAGCTGATGTGGGGAGGGGCCCAAGCATGTTACAAATGGAACGTACTGACATTTGTCAAACCGCACCCACATCTTAAATCCATTTTGAGTCTTGTTTTAACTATCTGCCTTTTTTGCCAAAAAACAAAACAAAAGCAGGACATCAGGCAAAAAACAAAACAAAAAGACTAACCTTACTTTATTATTCAATTTGTTTTTGTTTTCTTCATAGTGCAGGGTTTGCTGAATTTATTCCCCAGCAAATCCTGCTGGGAAAAAAATCCCCACAGTCTCACCTGCCATTGCAAATATGTCAAGTGCTAGGAGCGGGAGAAAAAAATAAATTCTCATAAGTATCGCAATTTTTTGTTTAACAAATTAAAAATCAATTTTTATGTTCAAAATTTGTTTTTTTTTCTTCTTCAAATTAAAGAATAAATCTTAAAAACTGACTTACAAGTGATGTGTATTTTTTTTGGAGAAATATGGTTCCTTGAATAGTCAGAAGACAATAATAATCATTGAACTGTTTCACTGGTGTAAAAAATGCAAACTTAAGATCGAGAAAATCGACAACATCGTAGAATCGCAATTTAAATCGAATTGGCATCCAAAAAATCGTGGAAGAATCGAATAGGGAGAAGCCCTGGTAAGTACCACAAAACCTACATGGTATTTTCTTTTCTACGACAGCTTTTATTTCTATATACCAACAAAAAACAAGCATGATTAAAGGATGTTCTACCTTACCACGTGTTTGTTAATATAAATACCATGGGAAACATTGATTATGTAAAGATAAGATCAAAAAAGCTGAACTAATGCTTATTTTGAATGCCATTTTTTTGCATTTAAACTTAACATTTGATTAAAAATAGATTTTTGTGTTTGACTTGATAAAACTAAAATGACAATCATAATCATAAATTATTTCAAACGCCTGAAAACGCCTTTTAACCGGAAGTGAAATCATTTGCATCCGGGTGCAGGTTTGTTTACGGTCCTCGGTCTGCTCGGTGCTTAGCTAATGCTAAGCCTCGTGAGAAGCGGGAGCATCTGCCACATTTTTTCAGACACTTTGCTCTCCATAAATGGCATCTCAGATCCCAATAACAGTTCGGCCGCAGCTGCCAGCCGCCAGCCCCTCCGCTAACCGGGGAAAGAAACGTCCCGGTAGTCCGGCGGTGTCTGCCGCTCAACAGTCCACCGGGAGCGGCAGCAAGAAGAAGAAGGGGCAGCTGACGGCGACACCTGCCACTCAAATACAGGTTAATTCATCTGGTGTTGATATAGACCAATTATAACTGTATAACTCTGTCAGTGAAGGATGGTATAACAATCTAGAAGAGCATACGCTTCCTGTGTATAAGGAGAAGCTAACACGAAAATATACACATTATTGCAAAGAGCGACTACGAAGTAAAACTGCTGAACTGCTTAGTGAGATCAATTTGTGTAAAAACTTTTACGTTTCTGTTTTCGATCATAATTTCTCTCGTCTTGATGACTAAGGCAAATTCCAATTTCACAAAGTGAACACTATTACACTATACACTATTCAACTAGTATAATAATTCTTTTTTTTATCATTAGATATAACCGCTAAAAAGCTGTTCGGTAAAAGAACATTTTAATATGAGAATGTCTTTAAGTGATTCAGAACATTCACAGCTGTATTTTTGAAAAGAAAAAGTAAAACATTTCAACAATCTGAACTGAAACTCTGATCCTCTCATCAGACTTTCTCAGTTAAGTCACTGGCTCAACTTACCCCAGAACTACTATTGTGACTTTATTAGTCCTCTAAACTAAAATGGTGGACTTTAATGCTAGTTGAGGATTCTGAAGATGTGTTGTTTTTGTTTCTCAGACAACAGCAGCAGAGTCTGCGGCTGAGGTGAAGGCAGCAGGACCAGTTGACAGTGGTCCAACATCTCTCTCCGAGTCAACAGCTAAGCCTCCTCCTTTCAAAGACCCCAATTTTATGGTAAGAGTTCATCCATGCCATCTGATTTTGTTCTCCATGAATTCCTGCCCCTCTTTTTAATCCCTTATTATCACGGCAGCATTCTGGGATTGGTGGAGCAGCAGCAGGTAAAAAGAACAGGACCTGGAAGAACCTCAAACAGATTCTTGCTTTGGAGCGAACTTTACCCTGGAAACTCAATGATCCTAGCTGTGAGTTTTGTTATCTTACTTTTGCCTGTTACATGAGAAATGTTCAACCGTTATCATTAAACAAAGTAGCCCAGCTTTTATATTTGAATCGTTCACTTACTTGTACAAATAATGCCCAATATACATATAGATAATATATATTATTATATTATATATTATATTATTATTATATAATATATATAATTTATCTTTTTTGTTGTTGTCCTGAAATCTGTTTGAATGCATTTTCCCTTTGAGTTTATAAAGATTTTTGTTTAAGTTTACGATTTTTTTTTTTACTAGCACTCGCATTCAAGTTATTTTGTGTTCACAGACTATAACATTGACGCTCCTCCCTCCCTGTTGCCAACCAAGAAGTACTCTGACATCTCTGGACTCCCAGTGAGTATACAGTTAAAGTCCTAAAGATACCAAATATACATACAAACTTGTCAGTCAAGTATAAAGATGACACTGATCACTGTTTTGTCTCCCTTTAGGCAAACTACACAGACCCTCAGACAAAACTGCGCTTCACATCCTCTGAGGAGTTCAACTACATCCGTCTTCTCCCTACAGATGTTGTCACTGGTTACCTGGCCTTGCGGAAAGCAACTTGCATAGTACCCTAATAACTGAGCAAGGTGTAATATCTGAAAGTGGTTTAAACTGGACTTGAAACCACATCAGTGATGGAAGCTGTAGGGCTGAACAGCCTGATGATTGCAGAGAGGCTACCAGGTTGTGTTCACTGAGGAAGAAAACTCAGATGAAGAGCACAGAGAAGCAACTCCTGCATGCTTTGGACAGCTGGTTTCAAGAAGACAATTTGTTTGACAAATTTGACTGAAGGATAAATTCTTCATGTGATTACTACCTCTATTTTTTAAGGCTTGTTTCATATTGCTAGATGTTGTTATGCCATTGCCAGAGCTAAAACATCTAAAATGTAAGAGTCACCTCTTCATAGCATGATGTTGCCTTTGCTAAATTTGTGTTTTTGCATTAGTGGCCGGGATGCCCTCTTGTGGTAAACATCTGTTTTCTGTGATGTAAATCCAGTCAGGTTGTAGAGAGGCTGCACACTCAGATGTCTCAAAGTGTCTCAAGAGGTTCAGGTAGCTTGAATTTTTGTGTTTTTGTAAGGTCTCAATTAAAATTTTTATATGGTGTTGAAGTTTAATTTCACAGTCTCCACCACATTAATCAACATTGGAGTTGTAAATGTATTTCATTCTCATTTTAGTACAAACCCTTTAGTGCTTTAACTGAGTTACCTGCACCAGCTTCTCTGTCTCAGATTGCTGTAATGTTCTGTAGCTTGTGCATACATTTGTAGTCTATGCAAATGGAGCTGGGCCAAGAGTCCTCAGTTGGGCCTAATTTCACATGTGTCATATGTAAATGTAAAATTGGTTCCACATGCTTTTAATTCCACAGCAGCATTTGATATATGATAGACTAAGGGTGTCTCATTAATCACACATGGCAGGCATACAGGATTCTTTCCGTGGTGGATTTTACATCATTTTTCACAAACTTGATTAACGACAACCATATACATTATTTTCAATGTAAACGATCCTCATTATGCAAAATCTGAGAGTGTAACCATTTTAAGGCTACAGGTCTTAGTCCTGACCTGTTGATAAAATATTAACTGAATTTCAAGCATCTGCAGCATCTTAATTTGGAACAGCTCAATTCTATGCAAAGTAATAAAGGACTTTTAACCAATAAACCATTAAAAGACTGAAGAGAAGAACAGATTATGTTTGATATGGCTAACTAGGGTTGTTTGACAGACAAATATAGGAAAAGCTATCAATACTGCAAATCAATAAGTAACTATCAAGCTAAAGTATGTCACTCCAATGTGATAATATTTTTCTGAGCTCCATTCCCAAATTGTCTACTTTCAGAAACAATAACCTTTACATTATAACCAAACTACACCACAAATATCAATACCTACATAACTTTTTATTAATGAACTGTCACTGTAATTTCACTGCAGCAAAGATCATTGAGCAGTTTGGTGTGATAAAACCAGATGTAGGGTACTTTTGAAGCTTGTTGCTAAGTGCTTAGCTTTTCCGATTCTTATTTTTTTTTAGCCCAAAAGCTGTAAAAACACTGTGGCACCAGGTGGTTAAAATAAAAAAAAAATACAAGCATCTAAATCTTTCTGGCGGTCCTCCCCCTGCTTGAGAGTTACCTCTCTGAGCTCTGAGCTTTGGTGAAGCTGATGAAGGCAGTATAGTATATCTATGAGAGACAGAGCAGCATTTCCATTCCTGCTGTGGCATCAAAACCTCAACGTAGTGATTAATGAACAGTGCCAGGGCTTTCTGCTATCCTAGCACTCTACCCACTGGAGTGTGTCTGCGAGCATGTGTGTGCATTTGAGTTGGTGCTCAGTTTTTGGACATCCAACACAGAAGATACAGATTGGTATAACCAGTTTGTTTTTAAGGTTTGTGAAACATTAAATTGAGATTAGGAATTAGGGATTAAATTGGACATTTGAATGTCATGGTCAGTGTAGTTTTAGAGACCTGCAGTGCATGTGTTTGTAGTCACATTTTGTGACCACCTGGGTGTGCAAGAGCTCTGCTAACAGCTAGCTAGATATATTGAATCATATAGTGTCTTGGTACCAGGGTGATTCAGACAGGGTTTTGTGTGTTTGGCCTTTCTTGAGGTAAGTCTGAGATTTATCTGCGAGGAAGATTTGTGTCCAGTCACAGTTCTGTTCCTCCTCCAGACATCAGCGCTGTAGAACAGTTATAAACCAACATAGTACACTAAATAATATTATTTATGCATTAAGTATCAATACAACATACTAGGGTTATAATGTAAGATAGTTTACATAAAAGTGACATATTGTGCATATTGACAGTAGCGCATAAAACCTCCAGAATAAACTATAATGACACCACGCATACACTGATTCAAGCAGGCTGGCGACAGTCATTGCTAGTTTAAGCACGGGCACAGAAATAGATGTAAGCAATTTAGGACTGCGGTTCAATCATATAATAACCGTCATTAAGAAGCTGATTGTGGTGTGCATAAAACAGCTCATCTTTCTTTGATGGAGGATTTGGCACCTGCTGTATATCACAGGATGTGCTACAGCTACTTAGATGAAATCAACTAGTGACTCTTTTTCTTGTTTTTTTCAAAGTGAACTTGGCAGGCAAGTTCATTAAACCACTGTAGGCAAACACTGTGTTAACTAACACCGGCCCTGTCTACCCTCAGGTTTGTCACTGACACTGTGGCGCGTTGGCCATAACAGAGACGACATCTGTTACCATGTGGCAACAATCAAAATTACTATGAGTTCCTTTAATACGAGGCATATGTTGTTTCCTGATGAAGTATTTGGTGGTTTATTTTATGAGTAGTTTATGACTTCCTCTGAAATTGAAATTCATGTCCTCCCTACAACCTATAAAAGCAAATAAGACCAACACAAACAAACTAGTAACATAAAGGTATTTGTATTTGGGGAGTGGTCACATGAAATTCTGTCATATTTTGCTGAAATTGAAAGAAAATTTTACAAGCACTATCTCCAAATGTCAAGCCTACGAAATGGTCTGAACCATGAGCTCCTGCAAGCTGGTTGATATACCAGCACATGTAGGAGCTGAGCCAGCAGGGGAGCTTTCATATTTACGTCTTTGACCTTTTGGAACAGCAGAAGTAACATTGTGAACTCATTTTCTCCACATTAAAAAAAGATGTCGCAGCCTGAATAGTTGAGACTCATAGTTTACGAGCAGACCTGAAAACCAAACAAGAACATGATCGGTTTCAGAAACATGCTGGATACATCACATTTCTACTTTATTAGATAGTGATCTTCCCTTCAGCTTCACACAAACAAAGAACAAGCACACAGAAGTCGACATCAGGGGAACTCAAGTGAAATACTTTCACTGAAACGCTGTTCAGACAGTCAGAAGTTTAAGGAAAAAGCTACTCAGTGTCTTGGTAACTTCCTGATAACAACTGTCACACCAGTCACATTCACTTACTGCAGCTGATGGTAAAATGCAGGTAGATGTGAAACAATGGCAGAGAGCTTGAAGTGCTCTTAGGTTTCCACATCCACAATCCTCACATAACCTCTGTGTTGGAGATGGGAGGAGCGCAGCAACAATCTAAATCAAGTTTTGAACAAAGGGTGGGACAGATCTGCCCAGAAACAACAGAGGGACTCTCCCAACACCACCCCTCCATGTTTGTGTCACAGCAGGTATTCAACAGGACAAGAAGACTGGTGTGTCTTAGTGCCATTAGCCATTTTGACAGCTCAATATGATATTTATTTCAATAGTTGTTTTTTGCAATCATCTTTTAAATCAATTGAGTGTGACTTGAGTGTGTTATGGTACAGCTGGCTGTTTAACAAGTTGCCCCTCTGGGATTTTGGAGATACCTTTAATCCTTTATACAGTATTTTTGGTTAAACATCCATTGCACTCATTCATTCTCCCTGTTTCCTCTGAAACAGTTCCACTTTTTTCCTGAGGGCTTCGTCCAGCCCTTTGCAATGAGGAAACTTCCTTTTTGATTTAAACTATTTGCACACAGGAGAAGGGCAAGTCTATCAAGAGCAAATGCCATTACACATACTTGAGCCAGTGCCGGCATCTTTACTTCATTTGATTGCTAAGACACTCAGAGCTTCTGGTAGTAATATGATAAAAACAAATAAGGTGTTTCTAGAGGGGTACCTGGTGTTTTTGACTGAGAAAACATGCTTAAGTGAGCACCACAGACAACAGAAAACATGGGCCCAGTCACAGTGATATCACAAAGTAGTTTTTTAAAGAGAGGGTATAAAACCCAAAGATTGAAAATGCAGATTCAGCCTAACTTTTGGCCAATCTAGAAACAGGAAAAGACATGGAGCATCCGGCTGAGTCTTGAGCGTAGATATAATTATTCTTGACTGTGCGCCACTTTCGTTATTGGAGGATACCTTCAGAGCGCACACCAACAAGCTCATGCTGTATGCGACTACTGGATGTTTGGGATGTAAACAATATACATGACAAGTCAAATAGGTCAAACTATGCCTCTATGCCATGAAATATATTTTTCCCAGTAATCTCAAGCTATGCTTTTAAATTGTCTTGCTGTACTGAGACCAAGACTAATAGTTCTTAAGCAGGTATCCCCCCCAAAGCGCCTCCCCTACCCCCTCTTCCTTCATGATCATCATTATCATGTCCTGTTGTCTTTGGCTTGGTTCAAAAGGTATTTGCAGCTCTAAGTGTTTTTCTACATCGACATTTTTAGAAACATTTGTCCACCATGGTTGTATTTCATCTCATCTTGCATGATCTGCCCCTTTTCTTACCGTTACACGCCAAATAAAAACTGACGCGTCAACATAACCGAATGTGCCATGATTGCCCACACGCTGACACGGTTTTATGGTTCATCCAGCTGAAAAAACACAGATCGCCGCCTCATAGAAAGTCCTATTATTTTAGCCCTGTTGCCATTTGAATGCAGCCTGAGTGAACGAGACGAGTTACCAGTTGTTCTTGGGCTTTAGAGGTCAGACAGCAAAGTGTCATCAGATAGCTAATCAACTCATTCAGATATCATTACACTGGGCTAAATCCCTGTTAATCCCACTGAAGATTCCATCAGTGTTCCCCCATAGGTCAACCTGCTCCTGTGTGTGCATGTGTGTGCGTGTGTGTGTGTGTTCGCACATGTAGGCTGAATGGACAAAGAGAAAGGTAATTCTTCATGTTGATAGACAATGATTGTCCTTCAGTAGGCCTCGCTCTTCGTGCCCTCTCTGTCCTTCTCCTTCTCTCCATTTTCTCCTCCTGTCCTCCTCTATCTTCCCTCTTCTCCTTTCCTGTCTCCTCCTCTCTCACCTGGCTCTCTCTCCTGTCTGTGTTGGCTGTAGGATAAGCACTCTGCTTTGGTCTTTGATTGATGAGACTTCTGTCAGTCCATCTGTCTCCTTGTATGTTTGTGTCATCCCTTTGCTTGTTTTGAGTATTCGTATGTGTGAGAGTTGCATGCTGTGACTGTTGCCGTTAAAAACAATACAGAGTGAGTGTCATATTATCTGCTGACTTCCAGCTTTGCCAGTTTAGGCTATGAGAATTTTTTTTGAATGAGTAGTGGAGAGTTCGTTTTGTTGTAATGAAATTACAGGTAGCATACAACAATCTTAATCCCACTAAGCATTTTACGGTCTAAAAGAAGTCTAATAGGCATCTAAATGTAGCCAAGACGACTGGTCTAAAATCCGGCTACCACAGGTTTAAAAATTAAAGTTTTTTAGACGTCTAAATTTAGACCAAGTCTAAATCTGGGCTATTTCTATACTTAATAATTATAATTATAAAATAATATAATTATTTTGGTTAAGTATTTGGAGATCAGTTATGCAACTCACAGTTGCTTTTTGAAATAAATAGTTATCAAATAATGGGTTGAAATGCCACGTCTCAATTCCGTCTAAAAAATATACAGAAAGTAGACAGTTGAAAATAGGTCTAAAAAACACTAGACATCTAATAGCTGTCTATTGCTCTGTGGGATCCTTATGCTTGACATGTCATAGAGAAATCACTACCTCAGAACCAATGTTGTACTTTACAAATGCAATATCATAAAAACATTAACTCAGACTCTTGGGGATTGAGCACATATGTTTATTTTTCTGTAATTACTTATAAGACTGTTAAGGTAAAGTGGGCTGGTGAGGCTAATCACAGAAACGTTCGCACTTCTGAGTCAGTGTGGCATCAAATGAATGATTTGTGGCAAACGAATGAATGAAAATGTCTGCAGAAAATGAAATTAAAGTGCAACAAGATCCGCCTCCATGGTGTAAACCAAACTCCAACTAGCTTTCCTACACATGTATTCTTGCACACTGCCCATCGTCACATGGAAAAACTTAAAAGCAAATCACAATCGGAAAGAGAGCTGACTAAAGAAGGAAGCACAACCAATGTAACCATGGCAACAACACTAAATACGAAGTATAAAATGAGACAGACATCTGACATTAAGAATTGTTGATACATAAGCGTCATGAGAAGGCAAGGTGTTGAAAACAAACTGCTACTTACATAGACGTACCAGCTAAGCTAAACAGATCTCCTAGCTCCTGTAGTCTGCCATGTGTGTTTACTCTAAAACCGTGTTTGATCACAACAGACTTGACGAGATTTCCAGTTATAAGAATCGGGACACTGAAAGTAAAAAAGGGTCTTCATCTTTGTGGTTTACTGTGCTTGTCACATTGTTGCACACCACACACAAGAGGAACAAAGCTGTTAAATCTGTCATTGGCCAATATGCGTGGGGTCTCTGATGTTTTCAAAACTGGTTAAGATTTTAACAATCTTTTGGTGTGTGCCAGGCTTTAAATGACAAGGGATCGTGAAGGACGCACCTGATTAATGTCGTCAAAGAGAAATGTCACTGAGATGTGTTGGTGGAAAACCTCATTGTGTGTATATTGGTTAACAAAGCTGTATGGAGCAGAACCATATTTAATATTGGATTTTTTTTGTGTTTTTTGGGGCATTTTTGCCTTTTATTGACAGGACAGGGTGAAATGTGGGGAGATAGATAGAGAGGGGGGAGGACATGCAGCACATGGTTGGGGCCAGACTCGAGCCCGTGACGGCTGCATACATGGGGCGCGCTAACCCACTCGGCCATCTGAACGTTCCTTAATTTTAGATTTTTAAAGCTGATTGAAAAGTTAACTTAGCCCATCCATCCATCTATCATTCCTCATCCTGCCTGTCTCTCTCTCTCTAGTCCAGATTAGCTTCATTCATCTCGCTCTCAGACCTACCTTCAGGTGAATAAAGAGAGGTTGGACAGAGAGAGAGAGAGGTAATAGCAGGGATGTGACTCTGCGACCCACTCAACAACAGATGGAACCAATCTCACCAGTCTCAGACACACCATCTATTCACACACATACCTACCACTGTGTTTTTGTGTGTAATGATAGCAGCCATCCATTCACACTGGACCTGGTGATGCAACTCAATGTCCCACTGTGCTTATTGCTGTTTGTGTTGTATCTTAAAACCTGTGTCTGAACTCTGATATATAATCACCAGCTCAGCCCCAAAAGCCAATTTAATGTCTGATGGCTGTTGTGTGAATTTCAGCTGTGGATGGTAAAAATTAATCCTGGATGACTTTGAATAAGCTGTAAATATTCATTTCCCCCTGAGAGTGTGTAAAACGGATATTTAGACCATCATATTTCACCTAGATCCATACATCATAATATTATACAAACAAGAGCATCACAGTGCAGGCTGTAAAAAATAAAAGCCTCTTTGCAAAATGAAAATAAAAAGCACCACCACGCTGTAAAATTCCTCTACCCTGTGGCTGTAGGGGAAGTTTATAATGACACTGCAGAGGCTTTATGAGATACACACGCTCTTTACAAACACACACACAAATACATGTACACACATTTACAACATGTCTCCAAGCTATATTCATACATTGGATACACCATAGAGAGTAAAAAGGTAATTGCATTGGCTTTAGAAGTAAAACAACAGTTAGGCTACAGGCTGTGTGTGCGTAAGTGTGTGTGCGTGTGTGAGAGCCTCATGTGCCAGAGCCATATCAATGTGCATGAGAGCAGTAGTTCATTCTGCAGTATGCCCTTGGAGAACAATGAAGCACCTACTGACTCACACAGATAGAAGCATGCTGGTCACTTCTTCATTTTTACTTTTTAATCCTGTGTGTGTGTGTGTGTGTGTGTGTGTGTAGTACCAAGAGTATATATATAAATGGAGAGAAGGAACGACCCTGAGCACACACACACACAAACCCACACAGACACACTGAGATGCAGAGTTAGTGTTTTGGGGAGAGTGTGATGGTAAATGAAGCGTGAAATGAAGAGTCAGAGATGTTAGAACATTCCTTCCCCAGGGACCCTATACAGCGGACTGACACAGACCAGGCCAGGATAGATCAGGACGGTCAAACCGAGCTGCAACCTCCAGAGCTGAAAAATGAAGCAGATGCAGAGGTGCAAAAAGCTGCAGATGCTCAAGCGTCCACTAGAGGCTGGCTCCAAAAGCAAAGGAAACCCAAAAAGAGTCCATTTTAAAATGATCATTTTCATGCAGGAGAGTTAAGCATCTCGACAGCCTGATAGTCTAGTGGATCGATGACTTGTTTGCTGATGGGTAAACTTTTGGTCTATTTTTTGGTCACGCACCTCCACAAGCATAATTACTTTTTTTGTGTGTCTGTATCTTTGGCGACACTAATTTTTTAGGCAGTTTGACTTAAGTTTGTTCTTCCTGCATAAGCAGCACTTTTCTTAACAGAAGCATTATAACTCTACCTCCATTTTCAGGTCACTTGTGCTATTTATGTGCTAATTTGCTCTGATCACCATGTCTCCTCTTTTTCCATCCCCCTGAAGCTTTAGCAGTAAGTGTCAGTTGGATGATTGTTTACAGATTTTTGAAGCTTTCGAGTAATGAAAAAACAATGGTATGTTATCACTAAATCTGAAAAATTAAAGGAAATCACACTTTTTTAAATGTATTCTGATAAAAATAAAACTTGTCAGATACTCAGGTAAGGATGGTTTTTGTGTGGTTCAAGGATCATACGCACATTAGCATCACTAGAGCTTAAGCCCTGCTCCAACTCCTCCTCTTTAACTGAGTCCAGATTGCCAAAAGGTAGGTTGTGTCAGCATTCTCAATATGGCAACCATCATCTTTGGGCTAATGACAGAAACTAATGAGCGAAGACCAAGTCAGTGGAGTTCAGACTCAAACCTTCAGGCTTGATGCATTGGCACACACCTTGGTGGAAGGAGTTCAATGGTTCTCATGTCTTAGGAGGACAGTGTTGAGATATAACACCTGAGAAATTACTTTTTACTTTGAATGACTTAGAAAAATCACGCTATAACAAGTCAATAGACACAGTATATGTATTTGACAGAGGTTTGCAATGGAAGCAAAGACAGTACATCATAGTGCACGGCAACAGAAATGATGTTTTTGTTGTTCCTGACAAAAAAACTGCTTCTGCTGCAGAAGTCACTGAGGACCTATGTCCTCTTGCATCCCTTTCCAGATGGCATAAAACATAAAAAATGTATTGTGTTCAACATGAATAAAAGCTTTTATTTATTACTAATTTGCAGTGACCAGTCATTAAGGTAAAGACCCATTGCATATAATACCTGAGAAAAATATTATTCAAGAAGACACAAGGAAAACTGCTTTTGTTGCTTTACCTTTGCTTTTTTTATAGTTATATCTGCTTTTTGTTTTGTTGACTCGTATTACAGAGTCTCAGGCTGCTTGCAATATTTCTTTTATGGCCTCTTTCAGACCCTTTTCCACTAACAATGTACTGATCTGATGAGATTGCAAAATCGGCATCCATCAACAGTCTGTTGGTGCTTGGTGAAATGATGTGTCTCTGCTATCTAAGTGGGAGTACCATGCACTAATGTAAAGCTCAGCAATATGAGTGACACACTCCAACATTAAAAGTAAGTGGTATTCCCCTTTAATGGCTATTGTTAACATTATTGTCCCAGACTTGAGAGTGCTGTAGCAGGTCATCTAATTCTATTGGAGACAGCTTGAGCCTTTCTCTCCTCCAACAGAGTCCATTACATCGGGTCTTATCTCCTCTAATATGCTCTGCTGTTAATGAACACTCAGTCTGTTAATGTCCTGCTAATTAATGGCCCATCAGCCTCCTCACAGTGGTAATTAAGTGCCAGTTGAGGCGTCTAATTGGCATGACTTCTGATTGGATCGAGTCACGCTCGACCCTCTGGGACACAGGAAGTGAATTACAGCGTTGTCATCGCTGTGGAGAGGACTTTTTTGAAAACTGCTGACTTGCTTGTTTAAGAAATAGAATTATCTTGTTAACCTAAGTCCAAGTGGACTGAATGACAGTTTCACTGAGTGACTCTGACAGAGGACAAACTGTCAAGTAAAAGTTAAAGAACAAGCCAGGCCTGTTTTTGAAAGCTCTCTGCCGAACAAAAAACTGCTCTAACACTTAATTTTATTATTTAATAAAATTTAAAAAGTTGAACTTGAATAAAAGAAATACAGAAAATGCAATATTAAAGACAACAGTGTAATATTTATATTTAAGCATTTTTGGAAAGCAGTTGAAGCAGGTGGACGAGACTCATCCCCTTCTGAAGTCTGAAGATTGACCTGCTCTACTGTGATAAATCACAATAAATGTAACATTTTCATCCTCAGTTTACTCCACAGTAAAGTCATGGCATATATACATATGTATAAAACATCAACCGGGAGATGACCTCATAGTAAAAAGCTGAATGGGGGCATGTCACCACCTACTGTCATGGAGGTGTACATGTTCTTTCAGTATTTTGATTTTCAACCATTAAATGTTAAGGATAGTAGTCCGGTGTGTGTTTAAAAGTTATTAGGGGGTTCATGTTTTCTATGATTGACACCTGATACAGCCTATGGGCGTACAGAGATCGCGTAGCTCAACCGGGGGATATGTTGTTTGAGCCGAGCGTTATTACAGCAACTCCCGGCGACTCTCTCGCTGAATGCGCACAACGCTACTGCGCAATGTTGGTTTTGGAAAAATCCCGGAAATAACGAGAGCTTTTTTGCTTCAAATCTATATACAGGCGGAAGGCGGAACCAAGTTGTCCATAGTATATACAGTCTATGGTTTCAAAGTGGTAGTGGCTGAAGCAGCTTAAATAGAACATCTACTCTGATATTTGCCAATTGGACGCTAGGAAGGTTATGAGCTGATTTGTCAGCAGAAATCATTTTTGTGTCTTGCTTTGTCGATCTGCGGCTACTTGGTTCTATAAAGTAAAGTAAGGTTCAGTTGAGTTGAGCTGTGAGAGTTAAACAAAAATTTGGAGACTTTGAAACAAAACAATAAATGAATGAGCTGAAAGATGCTAATATGTTCTGTAGAGCTTTTGGTTTACACAGCTTCAGCCCAGGTAGAGCTACCAAAGCTTTACACATGGATGATGCTGAGTTCTGTCTTAATTACACACTTAGAAATAATAATCATAATGGAAAAACTGTAAAGACTTTGAGGCAATCAGAGTTCAAAACCAGCGAAAATTATGAGATGTATCCACATATAGCAGGATGCTGTCTGCGAGCTGCTCGGTTAATTAGTTTTATTGTTAAAAAGCACTGAAGCAGCCAAAGGTTTAGGGCAAAGTTTAAGGCAAAGAGCAGACTCAATAAAAAACAAGCTAACAGTGTGAGGTGATAGTTTTCCCTCACATATGGCTGACTGGTTGCTTCAAGCTGTTGGATAATGAGAGAGAGAAAGGTAAAGAAGAAGAGTGAGGGATGGATAGTTAGGGGAAAAGAGGTTGAGAATAGAGGGGAAAGGGAAGGAAGTGGAAAGAGGAAGAAAGAGAGGGGGGCAGAGGTGGCAGAGGGTAGGGGTAAAGTGTTTGTTATAATGAGGGGACAGAACAGACAAACACCTGAGTGTGGAGAGAGAGAGAGAGAGAGAGAGAGAGAGAGGGTTGGAGGCAAATAAAGATTCCATTTTGCAGCCACTGTACACACACACACACAAATACACACACACACGTGTGCACACAGAGTATACTGGTTGCTCGGAGCAGCTTGGGATAATAAGAAACACAATAAGGTGGTTTTTATAATGAGAAACAACAGCTGAACCACCGATGGCAGAGTGAGGAGGGTTGCAGGCGATGGACAGCTCCACTTACTGTACTAAACAAGCTCCTACACAGAAATAGAAAGTTGTCATAGCACACCTATACTTAGTGAAAAAATATAGAGGAGGAGGTGTTTAATGTGCCCTTGACTATGAGCCTGGCCCCTATGTATGATGGGAATAATGACTGAGAATAAACTGACACAGAGTTTTATCACACAATGGTGCAAGGTGACAATGATACGAAGATGCAGTGTCACTGTGAGGCAATAAAACAAGGTAAACCATTGTTTTTTTTTCTATACTGATAAAACTCTAGACCAAATCTTCAGAACTAGAATCAAAATCAGACTCAACTTTAGTGGTTAAGTATGTGAGCACATACAAGGAATTTGACTCTGGTGTGTACAATTACAATATGTGGGGGAGTTGTCATACATCACGACAGTGATAACGGTTATATAGCCATCAGCTTCACATTTGAACATCCAAAAACTTAAAACATTTTCATGACCTAGAGTTTTGCATGAAGGAGACAGAGCACAGTCTTTTGAATTTTATCTTTAAGTCTTTAAGTTGTTGATCACTACAAAGTAACTTGAACCATAAGCAGTAGTAAGAGACTAATTATTATTGTTATTATTTCCATTGTTGTTGCTATTGTTGTTATTGTAGTGTTGAAATCATAGACTGTATATACTGTATATACTACCAGTATACAGATTTGAAGCTAAAAAACTCTCTGTATTTCCGCAATTTTTCTACATTTCCTGAAACCAACACTGCGCAGTAGCTAGTACACACTTCACCGCTTGTGCAGTAGCATTGTGCGCATTCAGCGGAAGAGTCGCCGAGATGACGCTCGGCTCAACCAGTGTATCCCCCGGGTGACCTACGCAATCTACGTACGCCCATAGGCTGTATCAAGTGTCAGTCATAGAAAACATGGACCCCCTAATAACTTTCAAAAACAAAAAAATAGGACTTGAGCACAAACCAGTCTTTCAGTAACTACATGTCAACATCACAAGCAGGGGGGAGAAAAATGCATATTTTGTGTAATAAATTTCTAAAGTTTGTCCACGGCTCCACAGACCTATACTGCAGCCTGTCACCAGAGGGTGCTGTTCTCAGAGTGGCTTTACCCACAAGGCAGACGGCGTTCATTCTATATACAGTCTATGGTTCAAATGCTTTGGCAATATTGTAGTAACAGTTATGCCAATGATGTTTATTGAAATTGAAAATTGAAATTGAGTAGCAACATTTCGGTTCCACGGTTGCTCTATGTCGAGGTCTTGCTCATGTTGTCGGGGTTCTAATTCTTTGAGGGAAGCAGATATGAAACTGCACATAACAGGCAACATAAGTCTCCCAGCTAGTAATAAACAATTATGTATTTATAAGGATTGAGTCTTGTCTACTATTGACATGTTAAGATATTGACGTGTGATGGCAGGCTTGGGATTTTAAAGGTTTCTGATATGATTTGAATCTTTATCTTTAAAGTGATGTAACAGTCTGAATGAGCTGAAGCAGAGAATACAAAGAAAGTTCAACAGCCTTTTTCACAGCATAAGGATAACACAATGTTAGTGTATAACATAAAGTAATGTCTCTCTTCTATCAAAGTGTCTCGGTAAGTTATGACTGTGTCACTGTGAGCCAGCTTGAACAATACCTAAACCCTGAGAATGAAACAGATAAGTGGATTTCAGAACATTTATGAATGTATTTTTACAGTGTTTTCTTACGTGCCAGAGAGGCCTTCTGTGAAAAAGGGCCAGTGCAACTCATCCCTCGAATAGTTTGTAATGAACCTCCATCAAAATCATTTTACCTGTGCTGTTGACATTGTAGCAGGGTTACAGATACATTACTTGTCTAAATTTTAAGATGTACAAAGATACATTACTGTAAATGTATGAGTGTAAAAGAGAGAATGATATAGACATTATGGGACAAAGACAAAGACATTTAAACAAGATGCATGAATGCTTAAGTTAAGAGGATTGTTTTTCTCTTTATGTCACCTTATACTGTAGAAGTGCGTGTGTGTGTGTGTGTGTATGTGTGTGTGTGTGTGTGTGTGTGTGTGTGAGAGAGATCAGAGAGCCTTCTTTTTTTCCCCTGGATAAGCACTTTGTTGTCCTTGGGAGACTGCTGGTGCTTGGCTTCTCGTGCACACACTCGCCAGGCGCTGTTCCACTGAGCCGTGCACGTGAGGTGACCTTCCTCTGCTACTGGCTCAGTCACGCCTCCGTGCACAACATACACACACACAAAGGCACACATTCACACACAATCACACACACACACATACCTTTGGGGCCTCAGGATAACACCATGTGTCCCATGCGATGTTTCAAACTGACATACATCCTGTGTTGTTCACTGTAATGGACCAATAGAAACACAAACTAACGAATTTACACACATGAACACACAAATCCTCTATATGTGAAACAGTCCCTAAACACACACACACACATTACACACTTAAAATAACATGTAGCATCCATTTCTCTGGGGCTAGTAGCTAACGCTGGTCACACAGGTGTTCAAATAAAAGGCAAAACACCTTTTTCTGGAAACCCACACACTCAAACCTGCACATGCACACGTCTGCATCATTAACATGTAGGGGACCATATTCCAGGTGCAACCCAACTAAAAGTACAACATAAATAAAGAAATACCTGATTAAAATGTTAAAAAGATATATTAATTCATTGAAAGTTAAAACTGTTGATATTAAAATTAATAGATACCTTAATCAGGCTAAAAAAACTGCATTTAATTCATCAAAAGTCATTCAAAAAGCTGTGTGATAAAAATGTGACTGTGGGCAATATAATAACTCTTCTCCTTCAAGAGACCTGCTGTTATCTGCTTTTAACATGGCAGAGCAAGAAAGACAAGAGAGATCGTGGTGACTTTTTGATGATCAACTTTTTAAGAGTTTACTCAGGAAAATAACTCAACAAAAAATAGTTACAAACTTAAACCTAAACCTAAAATAGATACTCTCAGCCCAGTCTGGATTAGTCTGGATTGAGCTGAATTGTCTGATTTAGTCTGAAATAACTTAAACCGACTATTAAAAGGCAAAATAAACTTACTTAAAAAAAAAAAAAAAAAAAAAAAAAAAAACAACACCATTTTTTTATTTGACCTGCAGGAGTATGAGTTGAAATATTTTGTTCCGATACATACCGTATTTTTCGCACTGTAAGGCGCGCTTAAAATCCTTTTGGCTTGTCAGAGCACTGCAGCTACTATAGCCTTGTGGAGTTATTGACTGTTTTGTTTGGCTTAGTGCACGTTATAATCCGGTGCGCCTTATGTATGAAAATTGACGCGAATAGACGTGTTCATTGACGGTGCACCTTATAAACAGGTGCACCTTATAATGTGAAAAATATGGTAGTTTTATCTTATTTCTGTGTTTTATTTCTTTAGTCAAGTGCTGGCTTTTGTATTTTAACACAGTTGGAGCCTAGAACTGGTCCAGTAACTTAAGTTTAAGATATACAGTTGACACAAGTGTTACACAGCTTTTAGCATCTGTTCAACTTTCTACCTTTTTTTTCTATAATTGTGTGGAACACTGTTGTACCTCTACAATTACAAAATTAGTTTCCTAACCTGAGTTGAAAACTGATCCTTTTGTCACCAATTCACTATGCTTCAGGAGCGTTTTAGCCACAGTGTCAACAGGCAGAGGGGAAATGTGTGGGACGGCTTTTCACTGATTGATTTGATATGAAATGTGTGATCAGGTTGATTCTAGTGTAGCTTTTGCAAATAACAATTAATTACTGTAGTTATTTGGTTTGGATCAATCATGACCTGATTTATAATTTCATGAATATTTGAACTCACAAACACTCTCTACACAAAGTTATATCGCTGATACAGGAAGTACCGGGGTTACATCATT